GATATGGCATGCCATCACATAAACAGTGCCATCAGTGCCACCTGGCCCATAATCCTGATGACATACGTCTTATCATGCCAGAAGTCAGCCAGCTGTGTTGTGCCGGTTTGACACCAGATCCGGGCCAGACCTCCTTGCTATGTGGGCTATTGATTTAAATGTTTTATGATTCATCCCTCTTCTACATTTACCCTAAAACCATTTTCACACAAAAGTGGTAGAAAACCTTTATTTTCCACGTTCTCTTCACTGCCATCAGCCTCTTTCACCTCTTCTTGCTGACTATTTGCTACACAGACCCTCTGCAAGACTGATGCACGCAGGACTTTATCACCCTTTTTACCTTCTGCCCACAGAGAGGAGGTTCAGGTCAGTTCAAACACATACTAACAGAATCCAAAGTTGGACAGACCCTCATTAAAGACTCAGACTTTACAGCTTCACACAACTGTGGGTCAATATGAACGTGTCACGCAGGTGTACGAGGTGGGAACTCTGAGATTTTCCATCTGTCCCTGTGGCTTACCTATAAGGCAGGAAGGAGAATAGTTAAAACAAGCAGTTTTTGTGTTTGTGACACACGGTTAGTTCTAACTGCGTTGATTTTTAAAATAAAATAAAAAACAAAACGTATGTCTTCGTTTTTTTTCTGCTTGATATTGAAATGAGCTTCTTCTGTGTTTAGAAAAGAGTGCCATTTTTGAAAGTCAACCTTAAAATTAACCACACCTATAAAAGCTATTTGCTGTTTTAATAACGTTAAATTGCCACTGTATGAGCTCATCATGTGTTAGATCTTTAAGAGAGAGACCTGCTGCTGCATCCTTCCTTTGGGTCCTTGGGTGTCTTTATCTGGGCATCAGTTTTTGTCTCCGCTATGACACCCAGACAATCAGACAATAAAGCCACAGTACTCAATTCAATTCAGTTCGATTCAATTTGATTCGATTAGATTCTACACCTGTGGGTGAACACAATCTCCAGCAGTTCTGAGCTAAGGAAACAAAGTACATTAACGTAATTATAAGGTAATGATGTTATCTTATATTGAGCATCCGGCTGCCCACGCTAAACTGTGACTATCACCAGGTAACCTGGGAGTGTTTCCTCAACAGCAGTAAGTGCGAAAGAACTGACAGACTGAACAGGATGTATGCAGGTCGACTCCAGATTGAGACGAGCTGATGGGTGGAGTTGTGGGGAAAATGTCGGTTTGCGGCCTATGTTACAGAAAGACAAAGGTATAAAACCAGGCAGAAGGCTTTTTATTAATAATTAAAATAATTAATTGCTGTCTGAAAATATTATTGATAAGAAGGTCATATGCATTTCCAGGAGCTGGAGCAGGCAACTTTTTTTTCTTTGCAAAGGTCTTTAATCTTGAAAACTGCATGACACACTGGCAGACAGAAAAGACCATTTGGTGAAAATATCAATTAGTTAACGGGTTTTGATTAAATGGTGATTCTAAATTGCCCATAGGTGTGAGTATGAATGGTTGTCAGTCTCTATGTATTAGCCCTGTCCTGTCCAGGGTGTGTGTGGTAGCTGGACAGGCTCCAACCCTGAATTGGAAGAGAATGCATGGATGGACACCAAACAGTAATTACACCTCTATTTACAGCATTCATTTGAATTACTCTAGAAAAACGGCAGAGCTACCATCTGTCACTATAATAATTAATTAGAAACAAGTTCCATTAGTGGCTAAAATGTCACTATGTGATCTTAAAAAACAAACAAAAAAACAGAAAGTTTATCCTGGTTTATCAGGTAAATTACAGACTTACCTCATGGCACCGTTACAGCGTCACACACTCAAGATATTTTTCTCTGCTGTGTTTACTATGACCGCTGGAGGGTGCTGTTGTTGTGGACATTATGTTAAAATAGGTGATGCTGACTCATAACTCATGTAAGCATAATTTCTGCCTACACCCTTTTTGCCTGAAATACAGTTTTTTCTATTTTAATATGCCTTGTTTTGCTATGACCAGACCAAAAAATAAAAATAAAAAATGAAGGAGTGAATGAATATTGCTAAAACTAACAACAATAAGCTTTTATTGAGCTTCACTTCGCAATAAATGTACAATGTCTAATAAATAATTTTTCCCAACACCAACATATTTCAAATTTAAGCTTTATGAAATATTTGCATGTTATTAAAATGTCAATAAACTGCATGGGAGAAGGTAGTCAGACCTACACAGGAGGAATAGACGGTACTACACAGTCACTATATTTGTAGACTTGGAGATTTCCTGGGAGGTCCACGTCAAGTTTCGCCTCAGGGTTTTAGAGTGGGTTGCTGTTACAGTGTAGCTATGGTGTAAATTTCCCACTAAAGCGTTAGTCCCCAGTCACACTAAGTTGCAGTGTCCAAATTACTCTGTACTTAATTTTTCACTTCAGTGAATACAATTACTACCATAAAAAAGGGAAATAAAATACTTTGGGAGACTCTTGCTTTTCTTCTTTTAAACTTCTGATGTTTAGCTGATAGATTAAAAAACAACAACAAAATACATATTATTTACATTTCTGGGACATTGATCAAGTTTTTGTAAATATTTTGAGGTGACCTTTAAAACTTTTATCTCACATTCAAATTTCAAAAGGTGGTTTAATTGGACTGGAACATGTAATGGTGGTGATGAGAGATCTGGCTTTCTCTCTTCTAGGTCTTTTGATATTTAACTTAGGTTCTGCACCCTCTGAATTGGTCGCGCTGTGCTTTCCCAAACTGACATTCCAGTCTTTTATGGTGCTCACTTTGGGTCAGTAGTTGCCCATCTTTAAGTGCAAGCTGTTTTTCAACCTTGGTGCACTGTTTTGGAACCATGGGACATGGCTTTGCCTGTCTGTCTGCTACTAGGATATGCTTTAAATTTATATATTTCTGCAATGTTTTTGATCCACTGTCAATGTGAGAGTTTTCCCATCTTTCTCATATGCAGAGCATTCAGAGCACAATGCATCTCATGAGAATATTGGAACAATAAAGACTCAATAAAGACTAACTCTGCCATAACACCTGTTCCAAGCCCGGATGAGAAAGGAGGAGGGTTGGGCGTGGGGCTAGCAACCCCACCCTGTAAAAACTCCAACTGCTACGGAAACAGCAAGTGAATCTCATTATCGGCTAAAGGTGATTTGGGTGACTGTAACAACTGGCGGGGCATCACGTTGCTGTCGGTACCCGGGAAAGTGTTTTGCCTCGCTCTTTTGAATCGGCTACGACACGCAGTGAACGAACAATTGCGAGAAGAGCAGGCTGGGTTTCGGAGTGGCCGGTCATGCGTCGAGCAAATCTTCACCCTCCGCATGATCATTGAACAAACATTGGAATCCCAAAGGAAGATTTCTATTAATTTCATTGACTTCGAGAAGGCTTTTGACAGCGTCCACCGGCCGACTCTATGGGCTATCCTACGCCACTATGGAGTCCCTCAGCAGTTTGTAGATGCCTTTCGTTGTCTCTACTCCAACTCCCGTTGCTGCGTCCGGACGGATGACGGCTGCACAGACTTCTTCAAGATCAATACTGGCGTCCGACAAGGATGCGTGCTATCCCCTTTCCTCTTCCTGTTGGTAATTGACTTCATCATGAGACGATCAGTTGACCAAGCTGGCATCGGTGTGCCCTGGCACGAAGCGCGTAATCTCACTGACTTGGACTTCGCAGATGACATCGCCCTGCTGGGCTCAACTCAGGAAGACCTCCAAAAGTTGACCGCGGCCCTGCAGAGGGAGGCGACGAAAGTTGGATTAAGAATCAGTGCCAAAAAAACCAAGGTACTCCGAGTTGGCTATGCACGTGCCCGCATTCCTGTCATGATCAACCAACAACGTGCTGAAGAGGTGGAGAATTTTACATATCTTGGCAGCATCATCTCGAATGACGGGGTCTCTGATCGGGATGTCGACGCCAGAGTAGGGAAGGCAGTTGGTGTCCTGCGACGTCTCCAACCTATTTGGAACTCGACCTCCCTGAATGTAAGGGTCGAGATCAGACTACTGAACTCTATCGTCTTCCCTACTGCACTTTACGCTAGTGAAACCTGGCGCTCAACAAGTGCAATTATTCAACACCTGAACGTGCTTCAACAACGTGGCCTGCGGCGAATCCTGAGAATTTTCTACCGGGACCGAATAAGCCGATGTTGTTGCAGAAAGGCGCTTCCGCTTTGCGGGCCATATTTTACGCCTACCCCCTCATCGCCCAGCTAAGATTGCCATGACATGGCGTCCACGCACTGGCAAGTGAAAGCAAGGCCGACCAAAGACCACATGGCGTCGAACATTCATGGACGATCTGAGAACTGTCGACATTGCCTGGGACGAAGCTGAAGCAGTCGCTGCTGACCGACATCGATGGAGATCACTAGCTGCCCGATGCGCCGCCCGGCGTCTAAGTAGTAAAGACCTCTGGCCACTGACAATGATGCTTTGGTGAATCTGTGTTAGACTGTAATACTGTATCGTTTATACTGGTTGAACTCTAGCCACCTTAATATTGGCTTGGACAGCAGGTCCTCTAAAGTCCTAATGAATGTTGCTGTTACACTCGAATGTTTTAAATGGTGAAGAATTTGAAGGAACTAGACTTTTAGCAAGCCCATCATATCTAGTTCTGGTTTGGTGATCGATGCTGCCTCTCGATTTTCTACAAGTGCTGTGATACTACAAAATGCTTCCAGATGAGATGTGTGAGATTATCACTATGGTAACATCTCTGTCACCATGGTTACATGGCATGTGATTTTTTTTTTATGCTGCTGAATTACCCGGCTTAGATAACTCAGCTATATCCTACCCCTGCTGCTGTTGCACACGCACACACACACACACCACACACATCACACACACACAGACACACAGAGTCACCCACACACACACACACACACACACACACACACACACACACACACACACTAACAGAGAGAGAGAGACAGAGATTAATCAGAGAAAAAAGTCCTCTGGCCTCTAAGCTAATGACCTCTGGCTTGTGATCATAGCTCCAGCTTGGACATTTCAGAACACTGACATTCCCCTCAGCATTGTGGAGTATGAGGACCTCTCTTCAGTGCACCTTGAAGCAACTGTTGTTGTGAATTGTTGCTATAAAAATAAACCGGCATGAAGTGAGCTGCATTGAATGTGATCATCACCTTTACTTGTTTTTTTCTCACAGTCAGTATAAAACACAGACTTTGCTTCCAGGTCACAAAAATAAACCCAATGCGTTCTTTGGTTTTGAGGTTTTCACCTTGTTGTAAACACTCAGTTTTCTCCATCTCCATTTCATGTAGCTGTGCCTTGATTGTAGACCTCCTTGAGATTGTTCTGGACTTGGTTAGATGTTGTGAAGGAAATCTCAACCAAGAAAAGATTTTTGCAGTCATCCACGTTAGCCTCCTTTCATGGTCTTCAAGGCACCAGATTATGGATTCTCCACAGTTTTTGCTGTTGCTCTGATTTGAGATTTTCAGCCGATGATGATAAGAAGGCCTATGGCCAGCCTAAAAAGGCCCATACCTGTACCATAAGTCTATCTTGCAGCAGAAATTCATAGGCTGCAATTCAGTGAGTAAATTTAGTAATCACATTTGACCAGCTCTACAGCATTTCTTGTACACTTGATTGAAGAGGAGAACAGAGCTGTTGACTGATCACCACTTGATGGTGGCAGGGCAAGAGGATGCCAGTGTATGCATATACTAATATTACAATGTTGGGCCTATTTCAAATTATTTTGTGATAGAGGTTTCTACTTGAAAGGTCTAAAGCGATAAAAAACAAATGAGGAGTAAAACGCTGTTTTAAGTCAGTTTAAGTCATGCAGTAAGAAATTAAAAGAGATGAATGCATGTAGTTCTGAGAATCTTTAAGCTCACAGCAACTGGGTTAGTAACCTCGATGACTAGGTTGAGCCCACAAACCACGGTGGTAATTTGAACCTAGTGTTTGCTCTGATTTCAGTGATACATTATGTATCATTATATACTGTATGGTCTGCTTATTATTTACATTAAATTATTTGATGTTATTGGTGTATCCTCTATTTTCATACATTGTTCTCTACATTCATCTCTGTTGCTTTCCAGATAAACAGAGAGAAGACTTCATCTTTAATTACACACATTGACCAGCAGGTGGAGACAGCTTGCCATCAGTACATATTCAAGTTTTAATATGAGCATCATTAATAAACACATTTGTTCTGATGTACAGAAACAACAGCAGTAAATAAAGAACGGAGCAGGAGAAGATGTAACTAATCTGCCAGGACAAACCAAATTCAGAAAGATTAAAAAAAACAGACTGAACAATTGTTCGATAAAGGACAATGTTACTGTGATGTCATGCCAACAGCTGCTGTATGCACAAAGGAAGTGGTTCATGATAAAGGGAAGTTTGGATCCACTTGTGGGAGAGATTGTCACAAATGTGATGAGGCTGGTGCCAGTGTTTTTGTGACAGCAAAAAACACGAGCTGAGACGTGGAGTGAGGGCAATGAGACAGGTGGTAGTGCATGTGTCGACCGGTGGGGAGGCATTAATGAGAGAGGTGGTGAGACACTTGAAACAGGTTCTGAGACAGGTTGTCAGGGTTTAATTAGCCAATCACAGTGGGGATTAACTTTGTAAACATCCAACAGAACACAGTCAGGATGAAGACGACGCTCACCTGAGAGACAGGCAGAGAGACAGCTTTAATATTTAACATCCAGTCCGTCAGGTGTTTATCATGATGTTATAATGTGACTCACAGATGTTTCCTCCAACTTCATACAGATGTTGAACTGGACTGATCAGAGACAAACAAAGACAGAAGGAGAAAGACAGGGATGGTAAATAAAAGTCAGATTTTCCTTCAGTGTGGGAACAGGTGGGGACCATAGGTATGGATCCTCACAGAAGTCGGATAAATGTGCATCTATGTGTGAGAGAGAGATTTTGTCACCTGTTCTCACACTCGAAGCGGGACGTTATGTCCTTGGCTGTTGTCTGTTCCTCAAGTTGTATCACCATGGAAATCTTGGTGTGTAGAGGAGCATGAACTCTGATCACACCTTCACACAGCTCTGTGATCTGCAGAGACACAAACAGACAGCACGCTGAACCCGGACTCTGTCCCGCATGCCTGTGGTCTTTGACTAACCTTGTTTTTGCCTTAGTTGATTCTGGACTCCATCTCCTTTGGTCCTGACCTGTATCAAACCTGATTTCTCTCTCTTCTTATCTGTTCTCTGTCTCACCTTGTTTTGGTGCCCATCTCATGCAGTTCTTGGTCTTTCCAGGTCCTAGTCTCTGTCTTCCTTGGCCCTGGTCTCTGTCTCACCTGATCTCTTTCATTCTTGTCATTCTTCTTCCTCAAAAGTCTACTGGTCCAGCTCAGGCCAAGCTGTTTCTGAATGGACACCTGGTTCATCTGTCTCACCTGAGACAGTAGAAACTTGGGGACCTATCAAAGAGAACGAGAAGTCATCGGGGGTTAGGGGCACCGAGACTGTGCATGTGTCCTGAAACCTACGGTCCAAATCAAGTCCTGGTGAATGATCATCAGCCGGATCAGCTGAGCTCCACCCACTGCCTCCTCCATCTCATCTCGTTTAGCAATTGAGCGCTTGTTTCCATGGTGACGACGGAACAGGTTGGGTGCCATCACCATGGACACATTCCACAGAGACATACGGTTCTGATCCTGATGAGAGACCACCATACGGAGGAAGACCAGCAGAGCCTGGAACCACAAAAAACAGGTTTTCTTGCAACCATGTGTGATTTCTAAAAAAAAAAAAAAGTCTGTCATGGTCCTGGGTTGGTGACCCAGTGTTTTAGGTTTTGTACTTTTCTTTTTGATTTCATCAGGGTTCATGACTATTAGGGTTTGGTTTCTGTTTTTTATTTCTAGATCTCTAGTTCTTCTGGGTTTGTGATTTCTAGGTCTTCATGTTTATTCTCTTGTTCCCCAGTCAGTCATGTCTCCTGTCTAGGCCCTGTCCTTATGTTCCCTCTGTACTGTGTCAGTATTATTGTGATGTTAAGCTCGTGTCTCTGAGTCCGTGTCTGTGTGTGCGTGGTGCATTTCCTGTTTTATTTTGATAGTCTGTCTCCTACCCCAGTGTATCTAGTTTTGCCTTCCTTCGTCGCATCATGTCTGATTTGTCCCAGCTGTGTTTCTTCCTGTTTCCTAATCCTCTCGTGATCCTACCTGTGTATTTTAGTCCTCAGCCTACCCTTGCTTGTTGTTGGATGGTTAACCTAACCTACTCTCTTTTGTACTGTGTTTTCTCCCGTCATGTTTCAAGCAGTGTTTCCTAGTATCTAGTTTTCAGTGTCAGTTTAGTTTAGTTTTACGTTAGGGGTTTTGTTTTGTGAAGTTCTCTTCTTTGATGAGTTGTTTTTCTGTGAGTACTGCACTTTGGTCCAGAATGCAATGATTTATAAATCTCATAAATCCATAATGTATTCATAATAGAAAACCATAACAATCACTGTAGCTCTGCAGTGATTCACTAGAAAATTGGCAACGTCCCTCAGCATCCATTGACGCTGCACAGATGACTATCAAATATTTAGTAGCAGTATTAATTTTGTTGACTAATTTTTATTATATTTTTCATCAACAAACTTTTTTTCTAGCAAAAACAAGACAATAACTGAATAAAAATGAATGAAAGGCATCGAAACGTTCGTCCACGAATAAAAAGGAGATGAAAATGTTTCTTCTGAGACAAGGCAGGAAGTGAGCCAGAAGAAACAATCTTGTGCAGTAAGGTTAGAAAATGTGACAAAATGTCAATGTTTCAGAGGAAGAGAACTGTGGACATATGGAGACATGTCGAGCAACTCTCACTTGTACCAACACAATGACACCTTAAAATCTGGTGACCTAAATCAACTTCAGATTTAGTCTACTATAATCTAAAGATATATACTCAACTAAAGCAAGACAAAAACAAAAATTAGGTGGCTACATCTGGACTAAAACTAAATTATATTTTAGTGAAAAGACTAGGGATATACCTAATCTAAATCTGCTGTTTTTTATGTAAATTTTATGACTGGGCTTGTGGGCACAGGTGGCATCTGATCATGGTACCATGCTAGAATTCACTGACCGCTTGAGAGCCTTTTTCTTCAACAAGTGTTTGTAGAAGCAGTCTGCATGCATAGGTGCTTGACTTTATTCACCTATGACCAAGGAGGTGATTGGAACACCTGAACTCAATGATTTGATGAGTGAGTGAATACTTTTGGCAATATAGTGTGTGTTTGTGTTTGTGTGTGTAGGTTTGGATAGCGTGGGGGACCTCTCGGTCTATCTGTCAAGCTCAGGTCTTCTACATGAGGCCTGGGAGCTTGAGGGCCCTGCGCATTTTCTTAGCTGTTCGTAGGACTGCACTCATCTGGACAGAGATCTCCAATGTTGTTCCTGGGATCTGCTGGAGTCACTCACCTAGCTGATCGTCTGTCTGTCGATAAATGAAGGTTAAGTGAAGACTTAAATGAGTTTACAAGAGTATATTTTAATGATATTAAATTTTCTGTAAAACTAAAAGATTCCCTATAACGTGCTGTCCCATGCTCTCTTAGGCTGTGACATATGTATACTGTGTGTTTACTGCCCTCTTTCTGCTTCTCACTGTTTGCCCAATTCTCTCTCACTTGTGTTTGTGTGGAACTCTGTGTGTGTCTCATTTGTGTGTGTGTAGACAATGTCTGGGTGAAGCTTTACTCTCAGAATTTCTCTGTTGGCTTCTGGAAGAAGCAGCGTCAGCAGCTGCAGGGCCTGAACCTGATGGAGCTCAGAGGGGATACCTGCAGGGACACACAGAAACACTTCATGTAATGCAAACACATTTAAATGATGAAAATGTGTGTTTGTATGTGTGCACACATACTCAGTACAGAGCGGTAGGTGGACAGGTGTGTGTGTGTCAGCAGAGGGGTTGGCAGCTCTCTGATGAAAAGCTTCAACAGACTGGAAGCGTCCACCTGTCTCACCGCAGACCAGTCAAATCCCTCATAGCACCTGTCTAATTCTCTACGAAGGCACTGCAAGCAAACAGATAGACAGCAGGGAGAAAGATACAGACAGAGAATCAGACAAAAACAGGTATTACACACAGAGAGACATAGATACACACAGGCAGACATACTCAGTTTTCCAGAATGTAAAAAGTCATTTTAAAGTGTGTCAGGGTGTGTGTCCATCTTTTGTGAGGACCAACGTTGAGTTTAGACCATCTCAAAATCTAGAAACAAACACCACTTAGCTGCTGTCTTGACATTAGTACTATGCTATGTTAAAGCATCATCTAAAGAGAAAAACAACTTGATGTAGAAAATAACCATTCGTTTGTTACCTAAAAACTAGGACTAGTGTTGGGTTCAGAACGGCTTTCGGGTTAGAGCTAGGTTAAGGTTCATGTTTGAGGATCTGGGAATGTTGATCTTGCTTTGCCCATGATGATGCACCTCCAGTCATCCAACATCCTAACTATGCATTGCTGAAGGCAGGGAACCTATGCACTGTTCAAATGTTGATTGGTTGACAAATGTGACGGAACAGGGAAGGGAGTGACAGGCAGTTCACTGCGAATGAAAGAGATGTGGAAAGATAACCAAAGATAAAAATTACAGACTGGCTGCAGTGGTAATCTTTCACACTCGGTTTCACTTCAGCTTGTTGTGTGTAATAACTTTGCTCTTCAAATGGATAATGGATAGTAGCCCACAGGCTGGTTGTACCACATGTTTTTGACACTCCCTTCAACCAACAACAGACGCTTCTTGCAGGTAGACTTTCAGTGCATGACGTGCCTCAGGAATGGTATAGTGTGCCAAAGTTGAACATTTCTGCAGGTCACGCACCTCCCCATTTTTGTTACATGGTGTGTTGTGTCGCTGCACCACAGCTGGCTCGCCAGCTTTTACCACAGTTTTTAATAATATAATAGTACAGTACTTCCGATTTCCACTTCTCCTCCTCCACTGCTGATGTGGCACTATTGTTGAGTGGCAACAGCTATTCTGTATGGAAACAAACAGCTGTGTGTGTGTGTGCGCGTGTGTGTGTGCGCGCGTGTGTGTGTGTGTGTGTGTGTGTGTTACCTTGACTCTAGCAGCTGATGCTGGTACTCTGAGAATCCCCTCAGTCAACAGGCCTGTTTGCTCTAAGATACACAACAACTGCATGCATACACACACATAAAGGAGGGTGTGACTGGTTACTGTTGTTTGTTTATTTTCACAAAATTTCTAAACAAGATGTAAACAAAGGTAAACTAACTTTGCTAGCTGTTAGTTAAACAACTACTTTAGGTCACCAAGATCATATGCTAATGGGCTCATACTTATACAGCTCTTATCTACTCTGAGCACTGTTTCCTATAAGCATTAAACATTTTACATCATGCACGTAAAGAGATGCTTCAGCTTGGGGTTCAATATTTGCTTACTTGAAGAATCGAACTACTGACCAAACAGTAACCCACTTTTGCTCCTGAACTTCCCAAAGACACATAAGATTATGATTGTGCCTTAAACTATAGTATCATAAGTTTTAGAGTAATGAAGCCAGCAATCTATCCCCTGTCTGAAACTTCATTAGACATAGAGAAGGACACGTTCTTCACCTTCTGGAACACGACAGGAACTTTGACCCCAGGAAACTTCTTCCTGTCTTTCTCCAACAGCGTGTTCAGAGGAACGCCAAACACACCACTGTCTAATGGACAGGAAGACACAAACAATCATACAGTGAGTGTTCTGAGAGACAATTTATACATCCTTTAGTACAGGGTTTTACTAATGGGGCTTTTTCAGCAGCAAAATAGTTTCAGGTCTGCCCTTATCGCTTATCCCATCCAGTCCCAAGTTAAATGTGCCTACATAGAGCCAACGGCAGTTTGGCTCTTTCGGTCCCATGGTGGGCAAACCACACCCACGGTGAGCAATCCCACTGTGGGTTGCCCATTGAAAACCATGACAATCAGGGGACCTCTTGGGATCAAACTACTGTGGGGCCTTAATGGGCTAACCCAAAAGGGGACCAGTATGGGTTTTCCTATGGCAAACCCACAATGGGCTGCCCACGTTTTTTGGAGCCCAAAAAGGCTAAACTGCTATGGGCTAGGCCAACATGGGTTTACTGTGAACACTTACTCATAAGGTAGCTGCAAAGGGCAAAACTGTTGTGGGTTCTGGATGATTATCAAAATTATTATGCATAAACAGTTAAACCATTGTAATGAGACACAGTGCTATGAAAGTGTTTGAGTCTTCTGGATTTCTTCTGTGTTTTTGCATATAGTCACATTTGCAGGTTTCAGCTCAAACTAATTTTAATCCAAACCTACCTGGTCCTGTTTAAAAACATAATAACAACATAGTGAACCTTCCTGGGAGTGAGTGGCCTACCAGAATTAGTCCAAGTGCAATCAATCACTCATCCAGAAGGTCACAAAAAACAAAACAGAACAAGATCTACAGAAACGCAGGCCTCACTTGTCTCAGTTAAGATGCGCGTTCATGATTCACCAATAAGAAAGATCAGGTAGAACGCATCTATGGAAAAGTTCTAAGATAAAATAACTGCTGACCAAAAATAGTACAAAGGCTTGTCTCAAATTTGCCACATCTTGATGATCTCCAAAAAATTTGAGAAAATATCTGAGAAAAGTTAAAGTCTTTGTGTTTGTGTAACATAGCATTTCACAAAGAGAACATCATACCAAGAATAAAAAACAGAATAAAAAACAGAATAAACATTTCATCCACAGAGACGAAAAAAATCATGAGCAGTTATGACAAATTTTTGATTGCAGTTCTTGCTGCCAAGAATTGCACAACCAGTCAATCTTATATATACTTGAGTTATCTTTGTCTAATATTGAAAACTGTTTGATGATCTGAAACAAATGTGTGACAAACAGGAAAAAAACTAAATGAGGAAGGAGGTGATACTAGTAGTTGAAACGGGGCAGTGGTTGAACGAAAACGATATAGCCGGACAATCTTGAATTTACTTCCTAATGTTGAAGCACGACATGATCTCCCATCTTGTGGTGCTCTGGGGTATTAAAATGCATACCTTATTGGTTTAGTGGTAGTGCCGGGTGGAAAGCAAAGTAATGATCTTTATAAAGGTATTAAGGACATCTCACATTAAGAAGTCTTTGTGTTTATCAGAAATTGGTCTTGGTTTTGTTGGTTTATTCTGAGTTTTCCTGTTTTTGAGATTTTTTTTTTAAAAGTTTGTCTTCATTGTTAATTTTACATTTTTAATTACTATAGTAGAGATTATCTTAATCTCCGTAATATCTGCTTGTTTGTTTCTCTTTAGTCATTTCCTGCTACCTTGCTTCCTGTTTTACTTTGAAAGTCATTTAACTCATGTCTTCTGTTTAGGTTTACCTCCTTTTGTATCAGTGCAGTTTATTCATTTCAGCTGTTTCTTGTTTTCCAGATGTGTCCATCCAACCTGATTCAATACTGGAATAAGCAGTTTTTAAGGTTTTGTGTTCCAATTATTAATTAATGTTTAAATAAACATAATAATTACAGAACATTGTTATAAATATTTTTTATGATCCAGCAGTGAGGACAGTGTTTTTAATCGTTCTCCATTAAACCGTTCTGCTGGAGGTTTCTTTCTGTTAAAACAGAGGTTTTCCTTCCCGCTGTCACTAAAATGCTTGCTCATACCAGGTCATGTGATTGTTGGGCTTTTCTCTGTATGTATTATTGTAAGGTCTACCTTAGAAAATAAAGTGCCTTGAGGCAGCTGTTCTTGTAATTTGGCACTGTATAAATAAAACTGAATTGAATTGAAACTGAAACAGTGTTTCCTGAAAAGCCTCTCTTGTTTAGTGGGAAATAGATTTCATCAAAGTAGATGTCTTTTTGAAAGTGCTGTAATTAGGTTTAAGAATACAGTTCACCCACTTTTATCATCTTCAATAGCCTGTACCAAAAGAGAGCAGAGCAGGTGCCTGAAGGCTACTCAAACAGAGGTCGATTATCTTGTTAATAGTTTTAACTTTTCACTATGCACGACTCTGGATACTGTAGCTCCTGTGAAAAAGAGAGCCTCAAATCAGAAGTACTTGACTCCCTGGTATAATTCTCAAACACGTACCCTAAAGTAGATAACTCTTAAGCTGGAGAGGAAATGGCGTGTCACAAATTTAGAAGATCAGATTTAGAGGATCATCATTCAGCCTGGAGAAATAGTTTGTTGCTTTATAAAAAAGCCCTCTGTAAAGCCAGAACATCTTACTATTCATCACTGATTGAAGAAAATAAGAACAACCCCAGGTTTCTCTTCAGCACTGTCACTGCCAGGCTGACAAACAGTCAGAGCTCGGTTGAGCCAACCATCCCTTTAACGTTAACTAGTAATGACTTCATGAACTTCTTCACAAATAAAATTTTAACCATTAGAGAAAAAATTACTCATGATCATCTCACAGATGTAACAACAAGTACCGCTGCTTTCAGTACCATTTAGTCTTTTTCTCCTATTGATCTTTCTGAGTTAATTTCAGTAATGTCTTCCTCCAAACTATCTCTAATAATCGCTATGTGCCATCCCTTGACCCAGCTAATTATAGGCCAATCTCCAACGTTCCTTTTATCTCGTAAATTCTTGAAAGAGTAGTTGTCAAACAGCTAACTGATCATCTGCAGAGGAATGATTCAAGATTCTTTATTTGTCATGTGCATGGTTATACAGATATAACACGCAGTGAAATGTGACCTGATACGCTCTTCGACTCTGCAAAAAGGAGAGACACAACTTTATGGCTTATTTGAAGAGTTTCAGTTTATAAGGTTAGACCCAGTTCCAGCCTTTGAATGCTTGACTGTCTTTCAACAGTTTGAGCCAGTGTCTTATTCTGCTTTAAAAGACATAATTGATCATCTCAAAATCTCTGGTTCCCCGCACGATATTCTTCCTTCTCGTTTCTTTAAGGAAGCTTTACATGTTATTGGTCCTTGTATCTTACTTCTGCTGAATGCATCATTGTCATCAGGTTGTGTACCGTCTGTCTTTAAGCATGCTGTTATGCAACCTATTATGAAAAAGAAAAATCTTGACCCAAATGCTCTCACCAACTACAGGCCGAGCTCCAAACTCCCTTTTATTTCCAAAATATTGGAAAAGGTAGTTCTAAAACAACTTCAGGCCTTTTTAGATGCAAATGGTATTAATGACAAGTTTCAGTCTGGTCTGAAACCTCGCCCCAGCACAGAGACAGCCTTACTTAGAGTTTTTAATGATCTTCTTTTAACTGTTGACTCTGGATATTCTGTGGTCTTAGTTTTACTTGACTTGACTGCTGCTTTGGTTAACCACAACATTCTTCTATCAAGACTGGAACATGTTGTTGGTCTCAAAAGTACGGTTTTAACTTAAATCCTATCTCTCAGAGAGGTCGTTCTCTGTTGCTATGGGGCAACACTCCTCGGCTTCTGCCCCTATTTACTGTGGTGTGCCTCAAGGGTCCGTGCCCGGTCCTGCTCTTTGTACATGTTGCCCTTGGGATTAATTTCTTAAAAATACAACATCTCCTTTCACTGTTATGCCGATGATATCCAGATTTATTCACCTCTGATTTATTCACCAAAAAAAACAGCTTTTACCAGTTGCGTCAGATATTCAAAGCAAAGCCGTTCCTTCCTTTAAAGGACCTTGAAACGCTTATCCACGCATTTATTACATCCAGATTGGACGACTGTAACTCCCTCTACTCGGGCCTCCAACACTCTTCTCTTTAACGGCTTCAGTTAGTTCAGAATGCAGCTGCGCATCTTTTACCAGGTACGAGAATCTGTGAACACATAACTCCAATTTTAGCCAAATTACATTGGCTCCCAGTTAAATGTCGTATCGATTTTAAAATTCTTTTGTTCACTTTTAAAATATCTGAATAATTTAGCGCCCAGCTATCTTTCTGAACTACTACACAGGCTCCTAGCACAACCTAGGTCTCGACTGAAGTCCAGAGGTGACCGGGCCGTTGCAACCGTGGCACCTAGACTCTGGAATAACCTCCCTGTTCATATTCGTACAGCCGAGTCTATCCAGTCTTTTAAATCACATCTTTTTACTTTGGCTTTTGATTCTAACTAGTTGGTTGTTCTTGCTTGTTGTGTTGTTACCTATTGTTTGTTGTCCTGTTTTATTGTTTTGTCTTAATTGTCTCAAGCTTTTACTGACTGTGAAGCATTATGGTGAACATTGTTGTTTTTAATATGTGCTATATAAATAAATTTTGATTTGACTTGATGAGGTTGTCCCACACACAACTGCATATCTGTGTAAATCAGGATTTTCCATTGTGGCCACAACCAAGACCAAAGCCTGAACCAGACTCAGAGCAACACTGGAAGCTGCTCTGAGAGTGAGCCTTTCCCCCATTCCACCCAGACCCGTGTCTCATTAACAGCTGAACATAAAAGGGGAGTTGCCTATTGTGACTGTTTGTTGAAGAATAACTTCTGGTTCTGCCAATGAAAAAACCTTTCAGATTCACTCACAGATTATAAGGCTATATTTTCATTTGCCTTTTATTTAAATTTTATAACAGTTTATTTATTTATTCATTTAATTAGAAAATTACTTTGAATGTATTTGTTTTATGAGCACATTATTCTATTTTTTCTTTTTTCTTGTCTCTTTTAGTAAAATTGAATTATTAATTATTTTGTGTTTTTAATCCTGACTTGAGCCTTTTAACTTTGCAGTTTGATTTGTTCCATGAATTGCTGGCATTTTGTTTTATGTACAGGTTCTTTGGGATTATTAGATTGCATCATATCATCATCATGTTTATTTGACGAGGTTTTAGCCATTAAAATGATGTAGATTTGATTTAGTTATTAAATATATATAAAACCAAAAGCAACATCAATTTATTCAATACAGTGTCGGGCCCCGGGCAACTTTGTAGTGAAAACATTAGACCCAGAGGTAGGGATGCAACGATACCAATTTTTTCAAACCGATACAATACCGATACTTGGATCTGAGTACTTGCCGATACAGAGTACAAAAACCGATACTTCTACCACACACACACACACACACACACACACACATGCAATGAATTGGAAGACAGATTTTATTTTATTCTCTGCTGATAATAAATAATATCTTAATAAAAATGACCACAAAAAAATTTCAAGTGAAAAATAAGCACTTCTGCTAAATTATTGCAGAGTCTCCACATTGTAATTTAGCAAAATATCACTGAACTAGTGGCACTGTCTCCAGCTTTCGGAATAACAAATAAACACTTCTGTTTGGAATAAAATAAATACAAATAAGGTTTGAGAATAAAATAAACTTTTAAATTGTTGCAGAGTGTCCATATTGTAAACAAACAAACAAAATAATGAAAGTATTTGGCATTGACGTACGAACTCCCCATCTGCCCGTGGATCATCAGTCCACTGTGCCGTTAAACCAAAGACTGACATCGCGCACACACTGCTCGTCTTTACCTCTTCAGAAAGTTTTGGCACCATTATCTCCCTGATGTGTGGGCGGCTGGGAATTTCATATCGCAGCTCGAGTGTGCTGAGAAGAATCCTATGTTTTCCACGACTGGCATAGGCTGGTCATCCAAAGCGATAAAATGAGTCAGAGCCTCTGTTATTTTAACTGCCCGTGGATTTTCTCTTGACATTTTTCATCGCTTTTCCAAAACCTGAGTTAAAGTTGGCTGTTCCACACTGCTGACATTTTGTTTAGCCTAGCTACAGCAGCCTCCAGTTTCTCTTTTTTATCTGGAGCTGCCAGTCTGACTCGTCTAACCCTGTGCCTGTTTAGCGCGGGATCTCCCCCTAGTGGCCAATCTAAAAAACTACAACAAAAATGACATGCCACCCTCTGATTAATGAAATAAGTTAGTATCGGTTCATGGTATCGGTTAACTTTTACGAGTATGAGTACACACACATTTTACAGTATCGGCCCCGATACCAGTATCGGTGCATCCCTACCCAGAGGTAAAACAGGTTAAGGACCGCTGATTTTCTACACACATCTTTGCGTGGGAGTTACATTAAATCGTGCAGAGCGGTATAATTCTGTACTGCTTCATGTAAGTGGGAAGATGATTTTTGTTGTTAAACATTTCAGGGTACATTTATTGTACAATTTAATATGAAAAAGTTGCTTAAAAATGTAAATTATGTTTGGATAAGTGGAGTAGGATGGATGATTCTGTTTTGTTGTAGTCAATTTAGAGAAATGTAGATGACCCAGATTTGATTTTTATGTGTGGACAGAAGATAAGATGGTAAGAGTCATTCATGTTATTCTAGTACATTCATAAGATACTTTCACCTAGAGTGCTTTCTCTAACTCTAAATTCTGGAGTATTTGTAGTTATGATAGTGTAATTTCAGATTTATATTGGTTAGTTTATGAGGGTGGCAAGTTCTAGAAACTCCCAGATGGCAATTTCAGTACATAAAGTTGGACTATCAGTAATTTATAGATGAAAATTAACACGACATTTCTTTTACATTTATACTACAGGAACAGCAATACTGCTTCAAGCAGCAAGCATTAAGATGTAAGCTCTAAATCTTAAAAAAAGGGAGAGAAAAGTTTAAGTTTGGTAAATTCACTTCTTCAAGAAAAACCTATGACAATACACTACCAGTCAAAAGTTTGGACACGCCTTCTCATTCAATGTTTTATCTATTTTTACTACTTTCTACATTGTAGATATATATGAAGAAAGATATATGGGGTTATACAGCAAATAAAAAAATGATAAATAACTCTAAATATATCTTATATTATAGATTCCTCAAAGTAGAAGAAACCACTACTAAGGAAAAGCAACAAGCAGAAGAGATTTGTTTGGGCAATCCGATCCGGTTAGTTGGACCATCATTTATTTTTTAACAGGACAATGACCACAAACACACCTCCAGGCTGTGTAAGGGCTATTTGACCAAGACAGAGAGCAACAGAGTGCTGGCCGGGCCTCCACAGTCAGCATCTCTGGGAACTCCTTCAAGACTGCTGGAAACCATTTCAGGTGATGACCTCATGAATCTCATCGAGACAATGCCAAGAATGTGCAAAGCAGTAATCAAAGCAAACGATGGCTATTATGAAGAATCGAGACTATAAAACACGTTTTGAGTCATTTCACACTTTTTTGTTTACTACATAATTCCGTATGTGTTCATTCATAGTTTTGATGCCTTCAGTGAGAATTTAAAATGTAAATAGTCATGAAACTAAAGAAAAACCATTAAATGAGGAAGTCTGTTCAAACCTTTGACTGATAGTGTATACATCACAAAGAATTATGACTGTTGCTGTCATTTAAATAAAAAATAAAACACAAATATTTTAATTTTATTTATATAGGGCCAAATAACAACATCTGTTGCCTCAAGGAACTTTATATTGTTAGATAAAGATCCTACAATAATACAGAGAACACACAGAAAACCCAGTCAGTGGACCCCTCTGAGCAACTACTTTGGTGGCAGTGGGAAGGAAAAACCCCATTTTAACAGGAAGAAACCTCCAGCAGAACCAGGCTCACGGAGGGCAGTCATCTGCTGTGACTGGTTGGGGGTAAGGGGACTTTATGACCCTTTTCTGTGGGCAAAATACATACATACACCTTACGTGAAAAAAATAAAAATAGTAGTAAACTTATCTATTTTTATGCTTGTGGAGTAGATGCACTCCACTTCCACATCGGTTTCATGTCTGCCTCTCTCACTGATTACACTGGAAATGTAATGTTGCTGTATCCACTCTGAAAATTGTCTGCAAACAATAAGGAGCCATGGTGTAAGACAAATGATGACGCACCATCTACTGTAAAAATAACAACTATTTGGAAATCCAGGAAAAATGGTTTGAAGAGATGTTCTTTGTTATGTGGATCTGGATCTTGTTTTTTTGGTTATGTACCGTTTTTAGTTCCACATTACTTTTTGTGTTCATGTTAAAAATGCATAATTATATTGGCGAAACTTAAGTTAATCAGTAAGAGTGTTAACATCACTCGCTATAGCTTTCCAATATCCTAATGCTATAAAGTCTTTGCTGTGAAGCTGAATGCAGATCATTATGTAAAAAAGAAACGCACCCCGGTTCCTGCAGCGTGGAGGACGTGTGCGTTTGGTGTGGATGCCCAGAGTCATCAGGAAGGTTGTGAGCTCAATGTGCGAGATGAAACACAGCTGTGTGAGGTCACGTGACGACAGGTCGCCTGCACAGCTAAGACCCTGAGAGGGAGGGATAGATGCAAACTGCACACACACACACACACACACACACACACACACACACACACACACACACACACACACTCTTTTTTGCATCTGTTAGCAGCCTCCTGTGTTGTAAGCAATCAGATTTGACTGGAAGACCTCTCTCAGCATGCAGCAGGTCAAACTCACCTGCAGCTCACTGTTGTTGTCTCTATGGAAACGTAAACAGTCCCAACAAGCCTTGCCCCTTTTGTGCTCAGCCACACCTTCTGAATATGGAGAGTCCCGCAGCACCCAGTCAGGTTGCATCAATTGACTGACGGGGGACGAGTGTGTGTGAGGAGGGGAAGAGGTATATTTGTGAGAGTCAGTGTGTGTTGGAGAATGTGCGTGTGTCAGAACATTTGTGTCGATGACATGTGTCGGAGAGCATTTGTTTCCTGGAGAGTTTGCGTGATGCAGAGAGTCTGTGTTTGAGGGGGGTGAGGGGTGCTCTGGTAGTTGATCTTCAACAGCCAACACGGGTAGAGTTGGTCGTACTGTAAAAGTCACAAAGCATAAAGCTCTCAGCAGGTAAAGAGAAAAAACAAACAAAATCTCTTGCAGAAATAGAATCCTGTTTCCAAAAACACTGGGATGCTCGGATGTCAAAAGCAAATAAAACTAGCAAATTGCAAATCATTTAAAACCTTTTTCAGATCTGTTCAAATCACACAGCTAGAGTTATTTATATGGTGCATTGACACAACAGCCATCTGGAGGATGATGAAGAGATGGTGAGAAGGAAGATTCCTTTTTAACAAGAACAACCAGGCTTAGCTACAGACATCTGCTCTGACCGACCTGGGGCGTGTGAGGAAGAGGAGAGCATTGAAAGACGAGGACAGAACACATGCAATGGGAGAGAAGACAAAAGTTAATGACATGCAAAAGTGAAATGTAAGCACAACAGAACACAAAAACAAAATGTTCACTGCATCATAGAAGGTCCCCCTGAAGCCCGTGGCAATAGCAGCATAACTAGGGATGCTTCAGTCACCTGATCCAATGAAAGTTGAATGAAAGTTTCAACTGCCTGGTGGCAAGTATGGATGTAGAGTCCCACTTACTATGGAACTTCTTTTATACAGGGAGTGCAGAATTATTAGGCAAGTTGTATTTTTGAGGAATAATTTTATTATTGAACAACAACCATGTTCTCAATGAACCCAAAAAACTCATTAATATCAAAGCTGAATGTTTGTGGAAGTAGTTTGTAGTTTGTTTGTAGTTTGAGCTATTTTAGGGGAATATCTGTGTGTGCAGGTGACTATTACTGTGCATAATTATTGGGCAACTTAACAAAAAACAAATATATACCCATTTCAATTATTTATTTTTACCAGTGAAACCAATATAACATCTCCACATTCACAAATATACATTTCTGACATTCAAAAACAAAACAAAAACAAATCAGCGACCAATATTGGCTGCGGTCGTGAGGTCTCAGAATCTGCTATGTGAGCAAAAAGAGTGACAAGACCACAGAATCGACGGCTAATAACATCACGGAGAAGCTCGCAGCTATTAACGGGAGACTGAGAGACCAGTGTTGGAGTGTTAAAAAACAGCTTGAAATTCTCAATTACCATCATAACCCGGCTACCCCTTCGGCGCCAGCTCAAGGCTGGAGCCGAACAACAACACCCTGATAACGACTGTGTTGAGTCTGTTCCTTCCCATTCCATGCAAGGCCACCTGGGTTGGCTGGAAGACTGTTTACTTAGCCTGGCAGGGCGAAGGACACTGTCTCAGCTGAACTATAGACACACACACACATACATATACTGATACTGATAAGCACTCACTGACACATCACCCGCCCTACCCCGGATCCAACGCCACCTCCAACGCTTACCTCCCCCATGATGTGGACATCGGGTCAGCTGGAGGCGCAGTCGAAAGATTGCAGCGGTCCCAGATCAGATGTACACACTGGAACTCTTTCCCATGTTGCTTGTCTGTGTTTATTGTGTTATGGTGTGTTGATATCTGTGCATTCCTGTATTATCCTTTTGTGTTACACATTTCAATGTTTTTTTTCCTCGCTACCTGGCCTGACCCGTCTCCCCAATGTGATGTTTGTATTGTATGTAAATGAGTCTCTTTTTAACTTTATAGTGTCCTGCATCCAGTCTCTCTCTCTTGCTCTTATTAATTAAATGGTTGTTTGTAGGGAATGGGAAGGAACAAGGTCTGTCATCTCGGTTGTGGGCAAAAGACCTGCAACTGACAAATAAAGGCTATCTCATCTCTCATCTCAATATAGCCACCTTTCTTTGCAAGGACACTCAAAAGCCTGCCATCCATGGATTCTGTCAGTGTTTTGATCTGTTCACCATCAACATTGCGTGCAGCAGCAACCACAGCCTCCCAGACACTGTTCAGAGAGGTGTACTGTTTTCCCTCCTTGTAAATCTCACATTTGATGATGGACCACAGGTTCTCAATGGGGTTCAGATCAGGTGAACAAGGAGGCCATGTCATTAGTTTTTCTTCTTTTATACCCTTTCTTGCAGCCACGCTGTGGAGTACTTGGACGCGTGTGATGGAGCATTGTCCTGCATGAAAATCATGTTTTTCTTGAAGGATGCAGACTTCTTCCTGTACCACTGCTTGAAGAAGGTGTCTTCCAGAAACTGGCAGTAGGACTGGGAGTTGAGCTTGACTCCATCCTCAACCCGAAAAGGCCCCACAAGCTCATCTTTGATGATACCAGCCCAAACCAGTACTCCACCTCCACCTTGCTGGCGTCTGAGTGGGACTGGAGCTCTCTGCCCTTTACCAATCCAGCCACGGGCCCATCCATCTGGCCCATCAAGACTCACTCTCATTTCATCAGTCCATAAAACCTTAGAAAAACCAGTCTTGAGATATTTCTTGGCCCAGTCTTGACGTTTCAGCTTGTGTGTCTTGTTCAGTGGTGGTCGTCTTTCAGCCTTTCTTACCTTGGCCATGTCTCTGAGTATTGCACACCTTGTGCTTTTGGGCACTCCAGTGATGTTGCAGCTCTGAAATATGGCCAAACTGGTGGCAAGTGGCATCTTGGCAGCTGCACGCTTGACTTTTCTCAGTTCATGGGCAGTTATTTTGCGCCTTGGTTTTTCCACACGCTTCTTGCGACCCTGTTGACTGTTTTGAATGAAACGCTTGATTGTTCGATGATCACGCTTCAGAAGCTTTGCAGTTTTGAGACTGCTGCATCCCTCTGCAAGATATCTCACTATTTTTGACTTTTCTGAGCCTGTCAAGTCCTTCTTTTGACCCATTTTGCCAAAGGAAAGGACGTTGCCTAATAATTATGCACACCTGATATAGGGTGTTGATGTCATTAGACCACACCCCTTCTCATTACAGAGATGCACATCACCTAATATGCTTAATTGGTAGTAGGCTTTCGAGCCTATACAGCTTGGAGTAAGACAACATGCATGAAGAGGATGATGTGGACAAAATACTCATTTGCCTAATAATTCTGCACTCCCTGTAAATAATATAAAAATTTGTGGAGGAAAACAGAGAATATATACATACAAAAAAATGAGTAGTCCTATTTTTCCTGAGAGCTTTTTATACAGTAACCGACATGTTTCCATGCTAGACGACATCATACACTATATAAAATGACTCTTCCTGTCCAGCTTACATGCTATAATTCATGTGTGAATTACACAAGGAGTCAAATGTCTCTGATTTGTTTCACAGCACTATTAATATAAGTGACCTCTGTGGGAGTAAGTGTAAGCAGCTACTCTGCATGTTGGGACTAGGCACTGAATGAAATAGTAGTGAAATTATAATTAGTTACATTAGTTACAGTTATTTCTCAGAGACACTCTGACGCAGTGTCATCCATTATTGTAAATTTGCATGTAATTAAGAAACTGTGAGACAAAAGATGATTTTCAGGAGATCTTCCTAAATGTTCAGTTATATACATATATCTATATCTATATATATCTATATATAGATATATATAGATATATAGATATAGATATTTATATATATCTATATCTATATATCTATATATATCTAATCCAAACCTAATATTCTTCAGGTTACTCTGTATTCATACTGTTTAGAAATGTGACTAAATAGACCAAAAAAAAAAAAAAAATAGACCAAACCCACACACAACAGTGCAGTGTCTATCAGAGGTACTAAGGACCATAAAACCATAAATCATCTGCTATGCCCTGGGTGGCATCTAGCATAAATAAAGATATATATAAAGAACCAACCTCTGCAAAGGACCACAGGAATCACTTATAGGTGAGCAGACACGCACCTCTGGAAGTATTTCGGCGAATGGTCTTGGTGGTGGTGTGGTATCGACTTGGTGGTGGTTCAGCATGATGGGAGTGGGGGTACACACATCTGTCTGCTGGGTCGTCAGGCTGGAACAAAAAGTTGGGGAAAAAATGCAGATCACAGCCTTTTTCTATTGCCCCAACATTTCCCAGGAATTATTTTAAGACACACAGCTTCTTACAATGACTATAATCTAAATTGCTGTGATATTCTAAAACGTATGGTCGACTATACAATTTCATAAAATATCTCTACATCTGTGTTGCACATTTGTTTTGCATTTAATATAAAATGCATTTCTATGTTTGTGTCCCACCTCAGTGAAGATATCCCGGACATCTCTGATTGGCTGTCTGTTTCTCTTCTTCAGTGTCTCGTTATAGTTATCCAGCCTCTTCCTCACAGTGGTTGCTTGTTGATGTGTCAAAGTGGACAGCAGCACCTCAGCTGGCGGTGGCACCTCATCTGCCAATGGCAAGCCCGTCACCAGGGAAGCCAACCCCGCATCTGTCAGCCACGCCTCCTCAAGCTCCACCTCTAAAAGGAACAAATCACGTAGGATCCGAACAGTAAGATGACATCTGACTCAGCTGTCAGTTTGACATACCATCCATACTCTTTCTCTCATCTTCCTCCTCTTCTTCTTCCCCATCCTTCTCTTCCTCAATGCTGTGTACTTCCCTCCAGTAGGTCTCCAGGGCAACATGTTTGGGGTCAGAGGTGGTGGAGTTAGAGGTGGTAGATGAAGACAACATCTTGTAAAAAAAAAAGTGCCAGCCAGACAGAGATAATTTTTTATTTTACGACTATTAGAATTTCAAAATATGACATAAGTAAAGTATTATCTTGTTAAAAACTTATCAAAGCTTTATCACTCCAACTTTCCCACGCTGCCAACAGAATTTATTGACATGTGCCAAAACCCAGTTTGAGATATTTTAAGCTTTGTGATTCTGGTATGTTGTCCTGCTGAAAAGCAGTGATCAGAAGAACGCCACATAAATGGATGGAAACAATACTCAGATAGGCTGTGACCATTTGAACATAGTAATTAGTTACTAATTACAGATTACTTCTCCAAGAAAGTAATCTTGTTACTTTATGGATTACTTATCTTCAAAAGTAATTAGTTGCTTTATTACTTAGTTACTTTATAAAAACATGATACACAACCTGAATACGTGATAAAGCAACAGACCTTTCAGCCCAATTCTATTTTTTGAATTGAATCAAATGAAAAAATTGCTTCTTAAAAATTGTTCTATTAATTTTAATCTTTCAACTTTATGTACATTGCATCAAGCAAAAATGTAATTATATGCAGCAGTCTCTGACTTGAAGACATTTGTTTAACATTTAACACTGAATTTTCTGTATATTCCAGCTATACAATAAAACATTCTTTTGTGTTTACACTCACTCTTTCAAATAGATGCAAGTGAAACAGAAAAAAATAAATAAAATCAAACTTTTAGCAGCACTATACGGAGCCCCCCAGGGGACATGGGAGAAAAAAAAATTGGGGAGGAAAAAAAAAAAATTAGGGAGGAAAAAAAAAATTAAGACGGACTTTTGCGAGATCTCGCAAAAGTATTGCGAGATCTCGCAAAACTCCAACAATGGCGGCAGCTACTTAGTTGTAATATTACTCTTTCTGGGTCACAAAATACACTTTTAAGATATTTTGAGGCGTGAATGTAGTTGTGTAAACGTCAGATACCTGCTCGGTTTACAAGACATCACATATTTGCAAAAGAGCTCCGACGTTTTTGGAGATCTGACACCCACTAGCTCGAAGCTAACGGGAGGTCGAGACCTACTACAGCCGGGAGGAACACCGCTTTCCCGGCACATCGTGCCTCGACCTCCCGGTCGGCTTCGAGCTGGCGGCCTCCGAAGAATGCAGCTAAAACTTTTGCGAGATCTCGCAAAACTTTTGCGAGCGCTCGCAATACTTATTGCGAGATCTCGCAATACTTTTGCGAGCGCTCACAATACTTTTGCGAGCGCTCGCAATACTTTTGCGAGATCTCGCAATACTTTTGTGAGATCTCGTAATACTTTTGCGAGCGCTCGCAAAAGTTTTGCGAGATCTCGCAAAAGTCCGTCTTATTTTTTTTTTTCCTCCCTAATTTTTTTTTCTCCCATGTCCCCTGGGGGGCTCCGTAGCACTAAGTCCTGTTGCTCTGAGTCTATTTTCACCTGTTTAGCAGAAGTGGGGCTGTCGGAGTTTTGCCCGGTACCGCAGAGGTACCGGCCATATCATTTTTGATTGGTCAACCAGGTTTCATTTTTCAACCAATAGGAAAGGGTGGGGGTTTTTTTGGCGTTGTTTTTGCTGAGAGTGTTTTTGAGGTTTTCCTTATAAAACTCAGTTTTTACCGTTTCTTCCCGCAGTAAATATAAACGACGACAGTATTCAGGAAGAAAACCAAACATTGCAGATATTTTTATCATAACTCTGGTTTTACGTGGCCGATCAACACAATTTAAAAACTGGTGTAAAGTCCACACTTTTTCCGTCAATTGTTCCGTCTGTCCTGCTCACATCTCCAATGGTTGTACACGTTGTCATTAACGTGGCTTCACTCCACATCAGCCACGCCGCTTTGCTAGCTAAAACACTGGTGTCGGCACATAAGGACGAATACGGACGTATATGTGAATCGCATCATTGGCTGGACCATGGGATAAGGTGGCATCGTTCTAATCCCATACGGGAGCAGCCAGTCACTTACTGACTGCAAAACAGAATTGTTAAAGTATTTATTTTAATTTCAATTCAGGTTAGATTTTTTTTTTTGTGCGCAATGCAGATTTTCTGAGCGCAGAGACGTGCCAGCAGTGCGCAATTGCGCACGTGCGCAGCTTAGAGGGAACATTGGTCATGAGACAACATGACAAACAAAATCACAGTTTAGTAACGCAGTAACGCCTATGGGAAAGTAACAGTAATCAAATTACTTTTTTGCAATAGTAATCCCTTACTTTACTCATTACTTGAAAAAAGTAATAACATGGCGGGACATTTAAATCAACATCAACTGTGCTCTGAAAATATCGCCCATAACATGACGCCACGATCGCCAGCCTCAGCTGTTGATACAAGGCAGGACGGATCAGTGCTTTCATGTGTTTTCACCAGATTCTTATCATATCATCTGAATGTCCCAGCGGAAATCAACACTCATCCAGGCAACATTTCTCCAATCTTCTGATATTTGATTTTGGTGAGCTCGTGTTATGGCTGACAGATGTGGCCATCTGCTGCTGTAACCAGTCTGCTTTAAGGTTTGGCATGTTGTCCCCATTAACCCTAGAGATTCTGTGAAAAAAATCCTATAGCAGATCAGATGTATCTGAAATTCTCAAATCAGTATATCCTGCACCGACAACCAACCCTTTCTTCCTCATTTTGATCCTTAGTTTTTCATTTCTGCAGGTTTTTCATGACTTTGTGACTAAATGCATTGAGCTGTTTAGTTATTTGCACTGAAGAACAGCTGAACAAGTATACTTGACAAAAAGACCTGTGACTGTATTTTCTCTGTATGTAACAGAATTTGTAACAACACACATTTTATAGTTTAATAAGTTTATTTTAGTTAATTATAAGACATATATAACATAAGACAGTTATATATGTTATATCTGTATTTATATCATATCAGAGTTTGTGGCTGCTGGTGGAATGAAGCTGAGCTCACATTATATATTTATGAAGTGTATGAAGAAAGGAAGAAGGAAGTCAGCCTCTTTCCATATATTGATCTTTGTGTGTGTGTGTGTGTGTGTGTGTGTGTGTGTGTGTGTGTGTGTGTGTGTGTGTGTGTATGATGGGGTTGAGGGGCCTTCATTGTGTGTCAGGGGTACCTTGGGCTAATGGTTTTGGTTCTCGAGGGACAACAGGGTGGGGTGCTAAAGCTAAAACTGTTGTGTGTCCATTAGGACAGAGGAAATGGATGCTGCTGGCCAATCACAGCATCAAGAACTAAGTGTTTTCACTCAGGTCATAAGACAATTTGACCTGATTACTCCGCGTGCAGAGTGATAAAAAATATGGACTTCGATGGGTTGAGTACAAGCTAGTGCAGTTTGCTGTCATTTGTTCTCAGTTTCGACTCAGTTTCGATTATGACTTCTGTCATAGCTTTGATGATAATAATAATATAAATAGGCCCAGAGTCCAAAACACTCACCAGAGTTCTACTTTCTATCTATTTCAATATTTCTAAATTTCAAGTGGCTCTGGAACTGAAGTGGAACTGTTCCTCAGACTGGATCTGTTTTATATCAGGCCGACTATCTTTAACAACCAGTACATTTTCTATCAATAATCACACCGTTCTTTATCACTGTCAGGCATCAAGAGCAAAAACAGGAAAAAAGAGACTCACCTCGGATCAGTATGCTTCCCGATCCTCTCTGCGTGGAGACATGAGAAGAGGCGATAGGAGGGGCCTGTACGTGTGCTTGGTAAGAGCATAGGAATATGGGCGGGCTGGAGCTTCCCAGTTTAGACCAGCTGCTGGACGCCAACTCGGACTATTATGATGGTATCACAACTTTATAGTACCGGTATCAGAGTAAATATGTTGATTTTTCTTTGTTATAAGAGACACAGTCAGCTGTCCTGGGCTGACTAACTTATCACAGAATAAAATAGTCTTTATTAAAAGAAAACACGGTCAGCTAGTGAATTAGTACAGGGCAACCTGCAGGCTAATTTTATGCTATAATCTTTCACCAGAGGGTCTACACGGTTTTCTAATGCCAGCTAAATAATAATAACAAGCCATCTGTGCCTACAGGGTTACTAGAATTACCATTATAATTGATTACTTTCTTATGACTGGTTGAAACTGGTTTTCAGTCATTCCTGTTATTGCAGCAATCCTTACATATATAAAAAGAGACATCTTATTTGGTAAACAAGAAGTAATAGCTTACTAAATGTAGTAAGAAATATCATATGACATGTCCATTTTTCCAAGGGTGCAAGAGAAAAGAACATTACACTCTGCTAGACAGATGTACTGCATTGTAGAGAGTCAGTGGATGAGATATGAGAGATTTTCTGTGTCTGTCCTTGTGACAGTGGGGCTGAATCAGTCTGTTAGAGAAGATCCTCAGAAGCTGCACCTTGCTGAGGCTTTTAAACTCCATCATTAAGCTGTGTTTATTGCTGTTGCCAGTACAAGAGAAGTGAGCCACTGCAGTTGTGTGCAGCAAATATAAACCTCACTTCCATGGGATTTTGCAAAGAACTTGACCCGAGTCCACATTTAAATGTTATTGGGTTTGAGGCCTTTACACTGAGGCAACGAGGAATCTGATGAATTAAGGTCTGAGCTGTAAATAATACAGAAACAGAGGTAATTTCTTAAAATAACATTTCTCCTTATAACAATGATACAATAATACAATAATAATGAAATAAATAATACTTATATATGTATAACCAGTCCCACTGGAACCCCTGAAGCTTTTAACTCCTTCCGAGTGGTCATAGCTGTGTTGGCGGCCCTACCTCACCAATCTTTTTCTTACTCTTCTCACTCAGTATATGAGGATGGCTCTAGGCAGATTCAGACAAGTACCCCAGTGCTTCCATTTTTTAATGATGGATTTACCTGAACTCTGTGGGATGTCCAGTGAGTTGGAAATCTTTTGTAGCCATCTGTTTTCATTGATTCGTTCTCTGTGATGCTTGGGATGTTCTTTTGTCACCATGTTGCAATTGTGGCAGGAATACTGATGAACCAGAGACTGGACCTCACATACACGTGTTTTCGTACTAAAATCATTTGACAAACATCAACTGCACTCAGGTGATCTCTCATTACTAATATGACACTGCAGGAATCAGCTATCTGGACCTCTGTTGAATTGTTGTTGTTGTTGAATTACGTCGTTGACTTTAAAGGGGGGGTAATTTATGCAAAGTGTGCCTGGTTACACAAACTCAATGTTTAATGTGTTTATTTCAAATTAAAAGCTCTCAACCAATTTCATGGACAAAACCCTTTGTTTCTTAATCATATGCTTATACTGAAACATTTTTTCCTCCGTAGTGTAGAGGTTAACACATTCACCTTATATGCAAAACATCCCTGGTTTGAGATCGGGAGAAGACACAAACCCAATCTCAGAGGGTCACAAGCTTGTGTATTTTTAGTGGTGGTCTTGGTCAAATCAAATGTGTAGAACTAGCCACTGTGGCAGCCCCTTGGGAAAATAAAGAAGGAGCTAAAAGTACCATGTAGGAACTTGTTGTGGAGAACACAAACTCAAAAAACACAAAACAACAATGTGGCTCTGGCATTCACCATCTGACAACCGTTTATTAATTCACACATTATTCTAGGTGGGAGAGAGAGAAGGCAACCCCACAGGGAGAGAGCAGGAAAGAGAGTGAGATGACACATCAAAGAAGCAAAGTAGAAAAATATGAGGAGTTTAACGAAGGGTCTAATGAGGTTGGCACTAGAACATATGAACCAGACTGGCACAACAAATGTAAAGGTAAGGAATGTAAAAGCGTGCCTTGTATGTGTCTTGGTCACAAAGCAGCCCCCCAAGAGCCAGAGGCAGACAGAGAATCAAGGAGATCCCCGTCATCTGCAGCCCCCAAAAGTACTGACGACCCGAAACTACACATCTCAATGTGCCCACCCCAGCAGAACAGGGAGGGAGGCCCCAGGTGTGTTTTCTAATTACAAGTAAAAACTAAACAAAGCGTACTTTTTTTCCCACCACCACCAAGCGCCCGCTCTTGGGAGTGATTGTTGGGGGGTTTTCTGTCTATTAGTACTCCACAGATTGAGCTCTCTGCTCAGTTCAGCTACAGTTCCCACAGCGCTCTACAACGTCAGCAACCCAGCTGGTTCTCCGTCCATTTGGTCAAACACTCCCGTGCTCTGCCCCAGCTCAACGATCCACCCGTGACCCATTCAGCCCTGCAAAAACTATTTATCTTCTATCTAACAAAATATTTATCTATCAATCCCTTATCAATCTAGCTTGCTTTGGCTCGTGTTATAGCAGCCTCAATACCAAATTGTGAGTACTCACCTCTTTTAAAACAAAAAGTACAAAATGCTTCACATTTTTAATAAAACTGCACATTAAAGATAAATGTACTGTATTTTAACATTCAGAGACATGTGGTCTTATAATGGGAAAAAGATTAAGGAAAAGTTAACCTATAAATTTTTTTTCAGCTGTGGGTTAAAATAAACTCATTCAGTTAACCTAATAGACGGAGGAAGGCTGTTCCAAAGTTTAACACTTTAATCTCAAAAAGCCAGGTCGCCTCTGTATTTAAAATAAAAGCTTGGAACAGTTACGAGACCCTGATCAAATAATCAGACAATAGCTCTGTTCTACAGGCTGCACAGAGCCAGACCAGGTTGAGCTTTATATGTTTTTAATAAACTAATACCATGGTTCTTAGCAGAGCATATGACAATGCCAGCTGATGTAATGACTGACCTCTTTACAGAAGCTGTAAGGGCTGAACAGAAGGATTGTGTAAGGAGTGGTAAGACAGGCTGTAATAGAAAGACAAGTTACAGCTGTGTATCATCAGCATAGCAATGGAAGAAGGTAACTTTGAAGCTGTGAAGTAGATGACCCATTGGTAACATGTAAAATGAAAACAGAATTAGTCCAAGGATTGAGCCCTGGAGGACTCCATGTACTTGTGGCACACATAAGGAGATATGAATTGCGAAATATCCATCAGATAAGTGTGACGCAAACCATTTGAGAGTTCTTCCGGTGATGCCAGCCCAGACAATACATGTAGTTAAAATGCCACAGGGGTCAAAAAGACCCCTTGGTAGTTCTCTAAGCAGACAAAAGTATTGGGCCAGTTTGTCCGCCATGGAAAACTAAACCTGTGCTGATGTTAATGTCAGAGCAGGTTTGGAACTTTAAACTATAAGTCTGGACTTAATTTAAGCTGTAGAAGTGTATCGGTAGGGGGCAGAGTAACCACAGTAATGGGCTTGGACCCCCAAGACTCATCCATAACAATGATGCTGAGACAGATGGAAATGAAACTATTCACAGCTGGCTTTCTGATCCATTTATGAAATCTTTCTAATATTTGATCTTCTAATAATAGCTCTCTAATGTACTCAAACTGTCACTTTGGATGCACTACATCACTTGTATGATCAATGTGATCAGTGTTTAAGCATAAATTAATAGCACTACACCGCTTACATGCATGCTAGCATGCGCTACCAAAAATAGTGCTTTGTTCTGTATCTGACGATCGAAAGCTAAACCAGATCCACACCACTGAAGTTGCAGCATTTTTACAAACCAATTCTGGTTCATCCGTTTCATTCAACAATCTGCTTTCGCCCTTCTCATTCTCCGTCGCCGCCATGCTTTTTCCGCCATGTGCATATGAAAACAAAGACACTGCACATGCGCGTTTTTCCCATATTCTATTGCGATATTTCATTTTCTTATCATTGCCCAGCATTATACCGGTATTACTGGTATTACAAACAGTGTTTGTTGTTGTTTATTTGAATTCTGCAAAATGTCCTATGATTGTTTCGTTTATTTCTTTGAGAGTTAATATTTTGGGTATGGTATCTTTTTTTTTTTTTGAAAAATACAAGAGTAAAAGTGCTTTTAACATGTGCTTCAAAACTAAGTTTGACTGGGAACCTCAAAGCTCAATAGCCTGCATCAACAGAAATTCACTGCAGCCTATGTAATGTTTGATGCGTCATCATTTATTCCAGTCTATCTTGCAAATACATGTGTGTGCTGCAATGTCATGCACAAACACAAACTAGTAGATCCTTAAGATCAAACCTATGTCAAAATAGTGTCATTCTTTTGGTCCATTGGCCATCAAACAAAAGGAAAAACAAAAATCAGTTTTGAATGAAATGTACATTTGCTGAAATTCGGAATGCAGGGCTTTTGCCTGTACTGGAGTAATTTCCCACTGGGGAAGCACGCTTTATAAAAATGTATTTGTTATTTTTACTAAACGTAAAGAACTAAGTAAGGAAAGGCTCCAAATAATAAAGCGCTGCAAATTACATCAAAGTTTTTATTTCTTTAAATATTTGTGATAGGTGTTCTGACTACTGAGCAGTACAATGGGTGGGAGTGTTTGTGCCACAAACGGGATCAGTTACTGAATATTGACCTCTCTCTCTCTTTCGCTCGCTCTCTCACTCCTACACGAGCATGCGCAGAGGCTCCGTTTCTCGGCGTTTCCGTGTTGTTTCGTGTGTCAGCAGATTGAGACGGCTCATCGCGGTTGGTAAGTCTCATACTGCGCTCCGGTACTTGGGTCGGTTCGCCTCGTCCCTCTCTGTCTGGCCCTGTAGCTACTTTAGCTGCCTATTTGTCGCTGTTGCTGCCGTTCACAGGGGCGCTCAGGGCGACGGGGAGAGACGCGGACCGCCGCCTCATTCCGCTGTTTGTTTCCTGAAAGAAGCTGTCGGGACACACTCATTTGGCGCGCTTCCGATCGCGCCTTCATAATAAGAGCTTTCGCTGCAGAACAAAATCTTTACAGTCGTCTTTTTTTGCAATAAAAGTCCAGAAACCGCAATAGAGAGTTGGAAAACCCGACAGGGGGACGTAATTAGACTTTATTTTTTAAATCATGCTTTTCTTAAAAATAAAAGGCAGAATTGAAAACAAAAATATTCTATCAAAATAAACTCCTAAAGTTTTTTGAGCTACATTTTGAGATCCAAACAATAATTATCAGTAAACCTAACGAGATCTGTGTAGATTTATAGAACAGGAGAAGTACACCTCGAGTGCTTTCATAACTTTAAATTTACTTTGTACATTTTAAACAGAATATGTTATAAGCTAACTGAGTCACATAAAACAATTTAATCAAAGGTACAGCGGCTACAGAGAGATTGTTTTACTCTGTATATTAAGAATAAATATAACTGAGTATGCTCACTCAGTTATATTTACTCACTCAGTGTTTCAGTACTTTAACCATTTCAAACTGATGTATACATGAAAATACTCCCTTAGATGAAAAATAATTAATATCTTATAGTTATTATATAAGATTAATTAATATCTTCAATATATTATCTGTTACATTTATATTTCTGACAGCCACAAATGTTTTTGAGAATCTGATGGGTTTCATTTTGTCAGAGGTGATGCAGTTGACCCCAAATACATGTAGGATTTTATTTTGAAGGTGAATGTGTGTTGACTTCCTGTGTGTTTTAATGGCGTTGCTTCCTGCCATGATAAAGATGATGACAAGTGTAGTCACAATGTTTTTGTCAAAAATCATTGACAATTAGCTCATTGGTGATTTAGTTGATTCAGAGTCAAAATGCTGGTGTTGATGTTGAGGTTTTTGTAGTTGATGTTATAGCTGTTGTGTGAGTTTGGAGTTTAGATCACATGTTTGTCTCTGTGCTCCTTTAAAAGACTATTCTAATCTTAAATCTTTCACTTTTTATTTGCTGAAACTGAAATTCTAACGTGACTATGAAAAAGTTCATACATTTAATCCACTTGCACTTGATAGTGCAAGTGGATTAACATTTATAAATATTAATGATTTTAGTTTTTTGGATGCAAGATATATTTTGTTTTACTTCATACAGTACTGTGCAAAAGTCGTGAACCACACCTATTTACTTTGTATTTTGCTGGGGAAATGGGGGAAAAGGTGCAGCAATTTATTCAGATGTGCAAACATAAATGGAAATACAGTGTATAAGGCGAACACAGAGTTTATACTTTTCTATGAGCTTTTCACCTTTATTTTTCAACACAGTTTGAATTGTCTTAGGCAGCTTTCTTTAGTAAGTCTTCAGGAATAGTATTTTAGGCTTCTTGAAGAACATTCCAAAGTTGTTATTTAGATTTTGACTGCTGTTTGCTCCCTATTGACACTGTTTCAACAATGTTTTCTGCAGCTTTAATCTCGTCCTTTTTGCACTTGCATCACATTTTTAGTTAGATTTTTTTGTACTTTATAGATATTTAATAACAATTTTATCATCGTTTGATAACGTCTCGATTAGAATAGGTGACCTATGACTTATGACATCTTTTTATGTGACTGAGCCTGAAGCAGAAACACTGGGTAACAGAGTAAAGTGGTACTGTGAAACATTTAGGTGGTCTTCACGAACTGGAGACATCATATTTTATTGTTTATTTTGGAGAGCAGTTGTCCTTACCTTAATAGATCATTAACGAATAGTAATTTTTGCAGATGTGTTGCTGTCACTCCTTTTCATCTCGTTGAGGATTATGTGTTGTGTTCTTGGTGTGATTTTTGCTGCACCCACTTGGATTATTAAGTATGTACTGAATGATTTATTCATTGATTACCTGACTGGTTCAGATAATAAACTGCTAGAACTTTAACTGAACAACATCAGTTCAAACTTTACTTCTGTGTTTGTTTTTCTGTTTGAGCAGATAGGAACCAAAGAAGAAGAAGACAAGAGATGAAGAGCAAAATCAGCAGCGCTCAAGGTAACACACTCAGCTCCTGACTAGGGATGGGTACCGGTATCCGGTGCCATGATGGCACCGGTTCTGACATAAACGGTAGTAACCAGACCGAAAAGCTGCGCACATTTCAGTGCTTTATTTCGGTGCTTTTTTTTCTGAGCTGTGATACACTTCTAGCCAATCATTTTACGTTTCCCAGGATAGTAGGCGGGGCCAGGTACGTACGTTCAGTTAGAGCAGAGCTACAGATTAAAAATGTCCAAGGCGAAGCAGTCAAAAGTCTGGCTGTACTTCACAGCAAAATATGCAAACTCAGCAGCAACAAGTGCTTTAAGCTGATACTGTGATACTGTCAAAGGAGGTAACACCTCAAATCCGATGAAACAGCTGGCGACGCATAGCGTTTTTTTTTTAAAAGCCGAGAAATGCGCCGTATTTGATAGCTTGCTGCGAGACCTCACACCGTGCACGTTGGGTGGGTTGCCAGTTATCGGACCCGGAGCAACATCCCCCAAAAACCCGAAGAGGAGAGTCCTGGCCCCTAGCCCTGCCAGTGTATCAGAAATGATGAGGATGATGATGCAGCAGCAGCCGTTCTTCTCTGCGTGAGGAGCTTAATGTTGTTCGTGTGTAATTTACGTTGAGTAGGCTAACCACGTTATTACATTAATGCATGTAAGGTGAACTAGCAAACCTCATCATAGCTACATGCGGCTGTCTTCTTGGTTGATGGCAGATACTCCCTTCACCCTGGACAAAAAGGCTAAAATGACCAAAGAAAAAGTGGAAAACAGCTGAACATGAGAGGTTTTTGGACAAAGTTTGTGTTTTTTCCATTGTTTAAGCACTGCTTCCAGCCAAGAGTGATACCATATATGCCCCATAGCTGCAGAAAAGGCTAACATTGTTATCTTTTTACAAAAAAAAAACAAAACAGCTGAACATGAGAGGTTTTTGGACCAATTTTGTGTTCTCCATTCTTTAAGCACTGGTTTGAGCACCGTTTAAGCACCGGCACCGTTTCAAAAGTACCGATTTGGCACCGGTATCGGATAAAACCTAAACGATACCCATCCCTACTCCTGACTCACCTGGGTAAACTCTTTCTGTAAAATCCACCACTGTTAGAGTTAAGATTGCATTTTAGTCAGATGCTAAAGGTTTTTTTTACAACTCCTGCAAAACCTGTCGACTTACTACACTTGAAGGATCCCAATTCAGCCTTTTTTTTTTACTGTGCAGTAGATAAAAAAGCACAGATGTTAATAGTTGAACGTTCTGGGTTCATGAAACATAACTCAAACAAGTTAGATTACTTTCTTGAATGTCACATTTTCAGATTGTGTAGAATATTGTTATTATTATTATTATTATTATTATTATTATTATTGTTCATCAAGATGGTTCCAACTTTATTAACGAGTTGTTTGCAGATCAGCTTTGTTTTCATGGATCTTTTTTCACTTTCCAGTTGATGTCACAGATGTGAGTCTTATCTAAAGAAAAGCTTTCACACTCTTTGCTGTGTAGCAAGATCACTTCTGAAACTTAATCATCATCAGACCTACTTATTCCTAACCAATGAGAACATTTCTTTCAGGGTTTTTTTACAATTCTGTTCCAGATATTCACTGTTGTTTGTGTCCACTTTCATTTGTTTTGATGTACATAATCTTTTCCTATTGTTTAAACTGACAGTTCACCTGCTAGGACCCAGATCCCTTTCAGTCTGCAAGGTGTAACAATTTGTGAATGTCTGCAAACTGTTTTACATATTTGTGCAGGCATTTGTGATATATAACAGCTTGGTACACGATTGTGGTATATCGTATTATAGTAAGATGATGAATATATGTGTAGCTTATGTATTTATATATGACTATATGTACATTTAATGTATGTCGCCCATATTTAAATTAATATTCACTAGAGTTTGTATCCATGTATTTGTATCGCTGTAGGCCTGACAAAAACTGCTCAAAAGGTGCTAGTAGTAAACAAAAACTGTATTGATGAGCATATGCAGGGTGCCATAGCTTCTTAGACTGTTAAAAGTTTAGCTTTTAATTAATAAGTAATTAACAGTTCTTATAAAAATGGATTACAGTTTATCTTTATAATAACGTTTGACTTTTGCACTAATAACTTATTAATTAAAATCTTGGCATTTTCATTAATATGTTATTGAGCTATTGAGAAAGCATTCAACTTAACATTAAACATTAGAAGAGTCACTGTCAGTGTGTGTTGCCCTTAAAGAAAATACCTCATTGCCATATATAGGATGTTAAACATTGTCATGTTTACAGAGCCACACAACCTTGTATTGGTCGTGTGTGTGTCTGTGTGTGTGTATATATATGTATATATATACACATGCAGACACACGTGTATGCAGTGGTGTGAAAAAGTGTTTGTCACACTTAAATGCTCATCAAATAGATTTAAATATTAGACAAAAATAACACAAGGAAACAAAATGCAGTATCTAAATGTAGGTGTTATTTCTCTATATACATATATATAAATATACATGGTGGTATGAAAAAGTGTTTGCCCCCTTCGGGATTTTTGTATGTTTGTCACACTTAAATGTTTCAGATCATCAAACAGATGTACTTTTAGACAAAAATAACAAAAGTAAACACAAAATGCAGTTTCTTTAATGAAAGTGTTCATTTTCAAGGGGAAAAAATTCCAAACTTACATGGCCCTGTGTGGAAAAATGATTCCGGCCTCAGGACCTGAAAGACTCGCTGTGGTAAATGAAACAGTGACTTCTGCTGTCTATCAAAACAACATAAAGGAGAATGTTGGGACATCTGTTCATGACCTGAAGCTTAGACGCTGTTGGGTACTGCAACACAAATTACCCAAAACGTACCAACAAGTCCACCTCTGAATAGCTTAAGAAAAACAAAACGAGTGGCCTATCCTGACCTAAATCCAATTGAGATGCTGTGGCGTGACTTTAAAAAGGTGGTTCATACTTGCTGCTAAGGGTTGCCCAACCAGTTATTAGGTTTAGGTATGTGTGTGTGTGTATATACACATTTATTTTTGCGAGGTTGCCTGCTTTTGGCCTTCAGTGACTTCAGCAGGTATGTCACAGCTGTTACTGAAGCAGAAATGAAACAGAGTAATTGGAGCAGTGATGTGATTATCTGTGATCCTCAGTGAATGTGAAGAGGCGGTCCTGGTCCTGGCAGCAGTACCTAACTGAGCAGAAGGCTGAAGCTGCTCCGCTCACAGTCTTTACCGAGGTAACTATCTACCTCACTCTCTGCCTCCTGTCCATTGCCAATTTAGAATCACTAATAAAGCTAATGTACATGTCTTTAGACTGTGAGAGGAAGCCAGAGCAAAGAGGAGAGAGAAAGAGGGAGAATGTGCTGTTTTTGGGACAGCAGCAACAACAGCGTCAACTTCATTCCATTAACTCAGGCAATACTACACTTAAAAACAATTAGAGAACACTGACAAATTAAATAGCACAGTGGGGAATTTAACAGACCGAGAGGATTTTATTGGCCACTACTAAAACAGATAAAATAACATTACAGAGCCAAAACATCTAAAACAATTGAAGCGGGAGCTGTAAACATACACCAAGAACCTACAGACTGCTGAAACAGAAGTCAGTCTCTCAAAAAGCATTGACAGAAAACTGGATCTATTAATACTAATACATGAAAAATGCAAAGAATTCTGCAATAATCTAGAATTTCCACGGATCCAAATTCAAATCGTAGAAAATCCAAATATTACTGTAGTCAACTGTTGAACCTTTAACTGAACAAACTGAAACTGTCAATAAGAAAACTTGCAAATTAAGTTAACCGTGTTGTAATTCCTAATACACAGCATGAGAGACCAGCTGATAATTGCTAGAATACCTGAACGCAACTGAAAATTCAAAATAAAAAAAACAATCACCAGAAAATCCATCCATCCTTTTTCTTCTTCTTTTCCTCATCAGGGAGAGCCTGGAACCTATCCCAGCTAACATAGGGCAAGAAGCAGGGTACACCCAGGTCTGTCGCAGGGCTAACACAGAGAGAGAGAGGCTGTGGGAGGAAGCCAGGGAAAACACAGTGTGCAGCACACTGTTGCACTGGTGCGCCTAACGTTTTTTATTAGGAGCACCCAAATTTTTCAACTGCATTGCTTAACACCGCAGTTTTACATGTTCACTTTTTTTTGAACATTGCTGTCCATACAGACGATATTGATGTGTAAAGGATTTACTAACAATCTTGTCAGCACAAGTTCTTTATTTGGAGCACAGATCTACAAGAGAAACACGTTACTGAAAAAGTGCTTGTGCTTAAAGTGCTTCACTGAGCTGAAATTTAAACTTATAACATCTCAAAATATGTTAAATAAAAAGAAAATCTAAATTAGAAGTGCCTCAAAGTGTCTCAGTCTTCAAACCTAACCTCTGAATATCTGAACAGCTCGATATCTTATCTATAAACTGGGCATACACCACATCACTTCTGTACGTGGGGTTTATGTTCAAGCCCTTTTTCTTGTGAAGAAAAACGGTTTGAACGTATTTCAGACTTGAACTTAGTGAACGGAACTTCTTCTTTGTGAGTATCGTAGGCAATGTTAAACGTAATCATTATCTCGGCCTCCTCTGATGACCTGTTTGCTGCTGCCTGCAGTGCATTTATCGCGGCGTATAATGTGTTGTCTGGATACACCGTGCTTTTTCAGCATTTCAATTTGAATGAATTAGCACCAGTCACAAATGCAGTATTGCCGGCCATGGTCTTTCCAATCACCACAGTAAATACAGTGCATCATGTTGTCAGCTTTACTGTATCTCAGCCAGGGAAACTGGCTCTCTTCGGAGTCGATGGTATGTGGCTCGTTATCTGATGCTGTCTCCGGACCAGTGCTCGACATAACCTGAGAGGTTGATGGCTCCGTGTCAGAGCACTGGCTATGAATTTCGAACGGATCAGGGTTTAACTTAACGAAAACGTTATCAATTGTTCTTTTCATCTTTTCTTATTACCCACAGCTACATGCACCTCTATTGGGCCTAGGCTGCTCAACTCGCTCTATCTGCCTACTCTTTCAAACGCACACACGTGTAGGCCTACAGGAATATCTGGACCACGGCCAATCAGAGTCCTGCCCTTGACTATCTCTGATTGGTTTAGACCACGATATCAGCATAATGTGTGTCTGTTGACCACACAGAGACACACATTTTTTTTTTTCGAATGGCTGGTCGCACTAGTGTGACCTAGGATTTTCTTTGTTGCACGATTGACAGATTAGGTCACATGTGCGACCAAATTGGTTGCACGTGGCCCAGCCCAGGTGATGGAGGCGAACTGAAGACCTTCTTGCTGTGAGGCAACACTGTTAACCACTGCACCACTGTGCTGCCAATCCCCAGCCAATACTTTAAGTGACAACCTTTTTTGTCTTTGGCTCAAAGATCCACCGAATGCCCCACCACCCTCTAGCTACAAAAACACACTCAGCCTTTTAGCCTTTTTATAGACTTAACAGTTCCAAGGTGTTTGATTTGTTCAAATTAGAATTATAAATAATAGATTTGGGTATTAGTCTTTCAGGTATAGATAGGGTTCCAAAAATAGTGAAAATAAAAAAGATGCATTTCCTGCTGAAAACCCAGTGTGATTTTGCACTGCAATCTGCATCACTGTAACTGCTGGAACTCAAACACAAAATGTTAAAGAACAATTTTTATCTTTAAATAATGGTTAGCAAGTTTGTTATGCTGTCTGAATTGTTGTGCAAATACTTTAACTATCTTTAAAGTATTTAAAAGTAAAAAAAAGAAAACATCTGTCTGATCTCTGCCTGACTCTCTGACCTGTTTCTGTCTCTTTTACCTGACTCTCAGTCCCAGACCTTTCCTAGTAGAAAAACTGGTTTTAAAGTTGGGATGAAGTTGGAAGGCATTGACCCAATGCACCCCTCCATGTTTTGTGTGGTGACCGTTGCAGAGGTAAAATTGTCACTCACATCCACATACGCATTCCTGTTTGGATCTAGTCTCATTGGCCTCCTTTCTCTATCAGGCGATTGGCTGTCGGCTACGCCTTCATATTGATGGGTACTCAGAGTGTTATGACTTCTGGGTAAATGCAGATTCACCCAATATTAGACCGGCAGGCTGGTGTAAAGAGCACAACCACAAGCTTCATCCACCTAAAGGTAAAAAACAAGTGGACCAGTCCCTTCAGAGGTAACTACATGGCATGGGTTATAACACCTGTCTGTTTGTCTGCAGGTCACAGTGAGACAGAGTTTGACTGGCAGCAGTACCTTCAGTCCACAGACTCTCAGTCTGCACCAGCAGCCCTGTTCACATGTTGCACTGGAGTCAGTATACAGTCTGTCTGTCGAACCTTTCTGTTCACCTGTTGCACTCTTGTCAGTCTGACCCACGTATCTGTCTATCCCCTGCCTGTCTTTTAGGGATGTGGGTTCAGGGTGGGGATGAAATTGGAGGCAGTCGACAGAAAGAATCCTGGACTTGTCTGTGTCGCCTCTGTTGCTGATGTCATCGATGACTGCTTCCTTGTTCACTTTGACAACTGGGATGACACATATGATTACTGGTGAGACAGAAGGACGACAGACTTTTTCTGTTTTCAGTATTTTTAGGTTGTAGTGTTGGAGCTGTTTCATGTCACTTGATATTTATTATTTAATGTGTTTTAAACCGGGTATATGGATTGATGGTTGTACTGATCCACCAGGTGTGACAGTAGCAGTCCATACATCCATCCGGTGGGCTGGTGTGAAGAACAGGGACGACCTCTTACTGCGCCACAGGGTATGCAGTCCTTCTGAACTCTATGCTTACAAACTTACATTACCATGACAGGCAAATAACAAACACACTCACACATCGATACCCAGCATCCAGACTGATGGCGAAACAACTAGTAGCTCAGTGTTCCAAAATTCGAAAGAAGGAACAGCTCTGACAGCTAGGGATTGACGAGGTGCAACACAAATGCTACGGCAAGGGGGAGCCTGGACACCAGGTCGGGTACCTGAGATTGGGTACTAAGCCCCAAGTGTAATGGAGGAAGGAAGCGGTGCGTTCAGGAGGAACTGACCTGAAAGATAGGATCACGGTGAAGCTTGAAACCTGGATACTCCGTAGCCTGTTACCAAGATTACGTGAAGTACTCTCGGAACCCTCTGAAGATCTACTAGGTGATGTGAATGCAGCACTACGGACAATACCTACCGCGACCATTACTGAGACCAACCAGCTGATCTGCACTCTGGTAACAGTGATCAGTGAGATGCTAAGTTACCATTTGAATAGCCAAAAAAAGCAGTACCCTCGGTGGAGAAGGAGACTAGGGGCCAAGATCAAGGTAGCACGGAGCGAGGTTGACCAACTATCGGAGGCAGAACCATCCAAGGTGTACTCTCAGTGGCAGGGGAACAACATGAGAACAGCACCACCAAGGTTGGAGACTGAGCAATACTGGAAGAGCATATGGGAGAAGGACAAAGCACAAATGAACCAGCTGCTAATTGACGACACACCCTATACAGTAATTTAAACACATAATAATTTTCCATATAGTATTCCTCTGTAAAACTCTGTAGTACTTTATTTTGCAGGTCACCCCAACCCTGAAAACTTTGTTTGGGAGGAATACCTTCAGGAGACCGGTTCTACTGCTGCTCCTATTTCAGCCTTTACTCTGGTGAGGATTGAGGAGGCTCATGCAAACATGAAGCCAATCAGGAAGCTGTTTCTGGTAACTTAGAGCTTTCCCTGTACTTTTGTCCAACAGAGAGCGCCACATGGTTTCCAGGTGAACCATAAGCTTGAGGCAGTTGACAGGAGAAACCCTATGCTAATACGTGTTGCCACAGTAACAGACACAGAGGACTACAGGGTGAAGGTAATGTGTATCTGTGTGTGTGATGTAGTGATAATCGTTAACTCGTCTACCATTTTGGACATGTGACAGAAAATAGGACCTAGTGAATAAGGCTCCAGTCACAGAGACCAGACCAGAATGTCTGACAACAACCAGTCATGAGTTAGTGAGGAGAAAAATAAGTATTCCTTGACTTGTTGTAAGTGGTTGCTGGAGGTTGAATTACTGTGAAAACAGTTGCTAAATTCAAGTGAATCAGGCTTATAAACCAGTCATATAACCCCCTGTTAAAACACAGATTTTATCTTCTCCATTTTCAGTTTGTGTTGCATTTTTTCAAGTGGTACTATTGCTTGGCTAGCAGTTAATATTTGCATGAAAAACTACAGATGACCGTCCAGAAAAGTTTAGGCATCAACATGCAGGCAAACTGGCAATTTGCTAACACCAAGAGCAATCGCTATTAGGTTTTTGCTGCAGCACTTTCTTTGTACCCAATTTCACCCAGAAGTAGCCAGCAACCTCCCAGAACCACTGGCAGCCAGTCAGGGAGTACACATTTTTCCCTAGCACACATCCAAGCACCTCTCACGCCCATGACGTGACATAAACGTGCAGACTCAATAGTCAAGTCTGCACGTTTGATGCCAGGAAGTATTTAACAAGGTGTGTGTCTACAGATTCATTACGATGGGTGGTCGACACAGTTCGATGTGTGGTGTGACAGCGACCTCTGCGACCTGCATCCTGTTGGCTGGTGTCAGCGCACTGGACATCCACTGGAACCCCCCCCAGGTCAGACATACAGGTCAGAGAGAGACAGACTAGTCAGACAGACAGGTCAGACAGTGTTACAGTTCAGAAGGAAAGTTATAGCAGGACAGATTCACTCATTGCTATCATGTGTGTGAGACAGGTTTGTCCCACCTGCCCTCCCCCTCTCAGGGAGTATGTCCTACTGCAGGCTGCAGAGGAGTCGGACACATCAAAGGAGCCAAATACACTGGACACCACAGGTACCTGTCTCATACAAAACACTACAGTTAATTCCCTTACATATACATATACAATACCTCATACAACCATCGCAGGAACATTTACCCTTTTAAGTGTGACACAAACCGGTCTCACAAACCACAGATACCTGTTACACAAAGAAATCGCAAGTACCTTTCTCACCCGCCCCACAGATCCCTGACCCAAAATTTGATAGATAACGATAGAACTCGTACAATCAGACGGGAGTGTCGCAGAGCTGAACACAGGTCAAAGAAGGACAAGTTCCAGGTGTCAGTTCAAATCTTAAAAGACCATCTTTAACACTGCACTGCTTAAAGACTTTATCGAGAATTATTGCATCTGACTGTCATAACCCACGTAAGACTCTGTTCCTGATGCCTCACTGTCTTTCTGTTTGGAAGCCTCGTCTGATATGTGCAATACATTTCTGTACTTTTTTCATTGATAAATTTTAGACCCACTGCTTTTCTCACTTTATTTCCTTCCTTTGGGATCCATTTTTAGAAAGCATACCTTTAAGGAGACGGATCTCAATTACACCATTTATTGAATGTCTTGCTGAAAATTAAAGCTCAGATAGCCTTGAACTGTTTGCATTTGAATGAGAAGAAGACTGAAATGTTGGGTTTTAGACCCAGCAGCTACTGTGACAGTAATGCGCGTGTCATTTGGATTACTGTCACACACTTTTGTGTTGGACTTAGCCAGTTCTGTCACGCCTCCAGCTTGTTCAAAATACTGCGTACCTGCCTATGACTAAATACAGAGGAGTCATATTTCTGTAATGCTTGTGCTTGCTGACTTGTTTTGCTGAGTTGTTTCTGTTGTTGGTGATTCGTGTTTGCTTGGTTGTAATTTCTCGGTGTTTGTGTTTCTCTTTTGTTAAATGTTTGTCTAACTCTGTCACCTAGTGCCTTTGGCTGTCCATATTCTGACATTAACATGCGTAAGGAGATGGTGCTTCCTGATAGGCTGGGCGGAGAACGAGTCATAACCCTCATACCTGTCACCGTGCGCCAGCATGACAACCAGTCAGACAGGTAACTGTAGACTGGTGGAGAAAATGCTTTTGTTGTGGATCTTGTACTGTTAAATCTGAGAATCGAGCTTCTCCAAGCATGTAAACAAACATAGAATGGGAAATGACGTCTACAGTAAGAGGATCTCTGTTATTTCTATTATTCCAGAAGAATAACAGCCGGTCATTATTTTGTCCTGCAAATAATTCTGAAAAACAAGTGGTGTTTACATGGTATCTGTTTCTCTCTGTGTTAAACAGCACGAGCTTTCAGAAGGCAGAACCCAGAGACGAGGAGCTGCTGGTTCCTCTTGGCAAGAGAAGAAGGCTGACAGACAGGTGAGAGTGAGAAGATGAGGCAAGATTCTGTTTGCCTGTTAAGTGTTTGTAAGAGAAGTGGCCCTAAAATTAGCCCATAATCAGGGACATTACTCAGACATATCTCTATCTCCTACTGCCTGTCACACTCTGTCACCTAACTGAGTGTGGCAAGGCTCCTCAGATTTGTTATTATTATTATTATTATTGAGTGTGTGTGTGATATAACTGATGCACACAACTATTTGTCAGGTTTATAACTATTGAATTTGCCAGTGCAGTAGCATTGAGGCACACTGTTTATTATTCGTCAGATTTATTATAGTTATTATAGTTTTGACACAGTTTCTCTTCACATCTTTGTTTTTCCTCGCACATCTGTCCTGCAGTATGGTCCACGATTGGCTATCGAGATGGAATAATGTTTTGCCCACCAGAGTAGCAAGTTGGTCACGTGACTGAAAACTATGAATAGCACTGAGACACACTATATATTATTTGTCAGATTTCTTATTCTCATCATTAACTGTGCTAATGGAATCGCATCGAGCCACACAATTATAAATCAGATTTATTAGACTATTCAGCCCCTATTTTCAGCTGTGTCTTTATCTGGCTTTTAAAATTTTCCGCAGATGAGTCTGTGCACTCACAAAATCAAGGAGGCACACAGACATCCGCACGGACTCTGATGCTCACTATGTGATAATGAAATTTATGTCACTCTAACCTGAGTGGACCCTAGCAGGGTTGCAGACATAGAAAGTATAATCCCAGTCTTATGATTGATACAAAGAGCCAGATTACCTAAATGAGGCGAAATAGCATGAGAGTACATTCCCCAAATAGCACTGGTGTGAGTAGTTTTATGGGTGATTTACAAAAGTTTGAGTTGGACATGCCCAATCTCACAAGAACCTTGTAATCTAGTGCTATTTCACAAACCAATAATGTTTAATTGCAGGTAATTTATTAAAGGGACAGGTGGAGTTTGTTACATTGTAGTCAGAAGAACATGTACATGTATAAAGGTTACACATGTGGACATTAAATGTAGGCCTACGGTGACAGTTTTGTTGGATTTGTTTAGTGAAAAAAGTGAATTTGAGAGATTTCATGAGGGAGTTGTGCGTGTGTACATTTGTGATCTATATATTATATATTGTCATAATCATGCAGCTGAATTTGTGTAGGCCTGCAAATAAAAAATGTAGTGCAGCTCATGAGTTTAGAAACCTCACTTTCTTGTGGGGTTCCGCAGGGGTCCATTCTTGGCCCAGTCCTTTTTTCGATTTATATGCTCCCAATGGGCTCAATAAAAAAAAAAATCTCATGTCATTATTATGCAGACGACTCACAGATTTACCTGCCACTGAAATCTAAATCTGTGTGTCCTCTAAAGGTTTTATTAGATTGTTTGAAAGATGTTAAGGCATGGATGGCTTTAAACTCTCTTAATTTAAATGAACAAAAAACAGAGGTCATTGCGTTTGGTCCCTGTGACCACTACGACTTTGGCCCTTTAGAAATTTATAAAAAAAAGAAAACCTTTTGCAAGGAACCTAGGAGTGATTTTTGACACGAATTATAATAATAATAATGAACTTTATTTATAAAGCACACTTAAAAACCAAGGGTATACCAAGGTGCTTAACAAGTAACATAGAGAATAAAAGAAAGGTAAATAGAAATAGCAAGCAAGTACTAGGTATGCAAGCAGATCACTATCACAGATACATAGGAGAAGCAGCAGATACATATCAAACAAAGAATTAAAATAAGCATAAAAGTACATAATGTGAAATCATAAGTGAAATGTTAACTAGGAGGAAAATTGCAATAATCCAACCTGGAGGTCACAAAAGCGTGAATAAGCTTCTCCAGGTCCTCATGTGGAACATAATGCCTAGCCTTAGAGATATGGCGCAGTTGGTGGAAGCTAGATCTCGGTACAGCAGACATGGTATCGAGTTTGAGCGAGCTATCCAGCAATACACCTAACTGACATAGTCAAAAGAAGAGCTAGCAAAGGGACCCAAAGCTGCACGAAGTTGGACACAAGGGATATTACTGTCGAACACGATGATCTCAGTCTTCTTATTGTTTAAGAATTACTCAGGAACCATTCTTTGACCTCACGCATGCATTCTCGAAAGTAATGCAGAGACAACAACAAGGTCATCAGTAAGTTCAAAATAGATCTGTATGTAATCGGCGTAAAAGTGAAAGGTGATATTGTATAGGGCTGGGCCATATTACACCATTCACGATAATACCGGTACAATGTTAGGCAACAATAAGAAAATGAAATATCGCGATAGAATATGGGTAAAACGCGCATGCGCAGTGCCTTTGTTTTCATACGCACATGGCCGATTGTTGAGTGAAACAGATGAACCAGAATTGGTTTGTAAAAATGGTGCAAGTTCAACAAAGCACATTTTTTTGTAGAACATGCAAGCGGCCGTCGTTATTGCCGTATTTGTCGGACTAAGGTGCTCGTAAATCTGGGAGTAATCTGGGTCCTAAACTCCGTCCCTCTCAGGTCCCATAGTCAAGCGAACACACAGCATCACTGAGAGTTAAAAACTGTCTAATTCTTTCATCTTTAATAAAACGATCAGCATTGCTGCTTTACCAGGTGTAACTATGAAGTATAACATCCAGGCATCCATGAAAACAGAATTTATTACATTTAACGGAGTTAGAAGTTAGCGGGAAGCTAGCGGATGTTAGCTCGCTAGTTTCACTAGTTACCTAAGCATGATGTAGCATGTTCTGACTGAGAGATTTCTGAAAACATTCAAACGTACAGCTCTGCTATCACTTCCAACATAAATGAAGACAGAAAACTAAACAGCAGTGACATTTGTAGGATTACTGATGTTGGGCTAGCTGGTATATAATGATGTGCTACGTGATCGCTAGCGACACAGCTATGTTAGCATAACATAAACAGTGAAGCTGGAGGATTTAAGCTAACACTTTTCCCCTCGATAAAAGTTAACGTGAGGGTTCCTGATGGTTAGGGACAAATGCAATCGCATGGCAGGATGCTGTAAACAGACCAAACTTCAGTCAGGAGAACAACTGAGATAATCCATCCACAATACGAGGTCAGTCATTAATATACTGCAACAACATGGGAAGAATGAGTTGAATAAAGTTTGATTTATCTGACTGTTTTGCTTAATGTGCCTTATAATCCCGTGCACCTTATGGCCCGAAAAATACATATTTGACTTTTTTATTTGGCACAAAGCAGTTTAATGTTGCAAAGCACCTCTTTTTATCTTCAGTGGATATTATACATGGTTATGCTGAGGATATGTCAGCCCATTTCTACTGGAAATGCCTTTTGGTTAAATTTTCAGCAAGGAATTTGCATTTGCACTGTTAAATTTTTATATGGCTTTAATGCACATAAAAAACAGCTGCTTGTTTAAGTGAAAATAAATGGATGGGGTTTTTTTGCGCTAGTAAAGTTGTGGAGTTGTATTTTGTCTCGCATCAATTATATCGTCAGTTATATCGTTATCGCAAATTTTCAAATATTTTTGGCCATATCGCCCTGCTCTAATATTGTATTTTCAAAGATTGCGCCTAAAGGGAGCAAATACAATGAAAAAGAATAGGGCCTAAAACTGATCCTTGAGGCACACTGCAACAGGCCAGTGCAGAGGAAGAGAAGGTGCCCAAGTTAACCAAAAAGGACCTGTCAGCGAGGTATGATTTAAACCAGTCAAGGGCAGTGCCTCTGTGGGTATCACAGTGTGCTCAAGTCTTAATAATAAGATGTTATGGTCCACCATATCAAAAGCCGAAGAGAGGTCCAATAAAACAGGGACCATAGAGCGTCCAGTATCAGTAATTACAAGAATATCATTAAGAACTCTAACTGTTTATCAATGGTTGATAAACAGATCAATGCTGTAATCAAAACCAGTTTCTTTCATCTCCGGCTACTAACAAAAGTGAAGCCATTCCTCTGTTCCAGAGACTTTGAGAGAGCTATTCAACTTTTGTAATAGTCTTTACTCAGGTGTTAGTCTGTCATCAGTTAGCTAACTTCAGCTGGTCCAAAAGGCTTCAGGCTTCAGGGTTACTAACTGGCACACGCAAGTGAGACCACACATCCCCCATACTAGGATCCTTACACTGGCTGCCAGTTAGTTTTCGAAGTGATTTTAAGATTTATTATTTGTTTTTAAGGTATTGCACAGGTTAGCATCCTCATACCTTTCTGATCTTTTGAACTGGTACAGTCCTGCAAGATCATTGAGGTCTGCAGATCAAATGCTCCAAATGCTCCAGATTAAAGCCCAGAGGAGATCGAGCCTTTGCTGTGACTGCCCCTTCACATCAGGACCTCCCCAACATTAGACACTTTCAAATCCTGTCTGAAAACCCACTTTTATTCCTTCGCGTTTAAATCAGAATGACTTTTTACTACTTGTATTTGTCTTATTTCTTACTCAAATCTTCCTATTTTATGCTTCTTTTTAAAATGTTGTCATGTCTTCCTATGCTTTTATCTCTTTTGATTATTCGAAATGTACAGCACTTTGGTCAACAGTTATTTTAAATGTGCTATATAAATAAAATTGACTTTGACTTAGAAAATGGTGTGCACTGCCCATGGTCCTGAAATTATGACAATTTTTGCTATACGTTATAGAATTTATTAACAAAACCAAACGGCACCTTCAATCTGTCGAATCAATTCCAAACATCAAAAGGAAAAATGTGCTGCTGTTCACACATCCCATGCCTGATGTCCACCAAGGCCTGATTACTTGCAGGATAGGTTCCTGTCTCCCCCCTGGTTTGTCCCTTCTTTAAGTACTTCACATCAGCCTCTTTAACAGTAACATTTTGGCCACAAAGGCTACAGTAAAAAACACCAAAAATGGAAACGTTTGAAGAAGCTTTGTTTATGCTGGAATTCCATGTCTCCTTTTAGCTGGAAATTCCAGGTCATCTCTGAATTCACTGAGCAAATTTAGGATTAGGTGGCTTCGTACGCTGTGTTTTTATCACATCTACATCTGGCATTGCAAATAAATTGTCACATGGTGTTCTCTCTGCAGTGCTACCTCTGCACATTAATAACTGCCACCATTCTAAAGACGCCATACTGCTTCTTTTATGAGTACTACTTTACAAACAGGAAGTGTTTAAATGTGTTGACTTTTCAAAGTAAAATTAAATATATAATAAAATAACTTTTATAGTTGCCTCTTTCACACTGAAACACAAATTCAGCTTTCTAATTATTTGAGCATACATATAATTACAGCATACATATAATTATTTCAACAAGTAATACTTGACTTTCAAAATAAAAGCTCAACAATATTACAGTTAATTATCAGTGTTCATGATATTTTTTTCTCTACAAATTATTGCCCTATGGCTGCCTCATTGACTTGATTTATGGTTATTGCTGTGTAAACAGGATGGCTGTAAATACTTTGGCCTGAGTCACCTCTTTTTAGCTGGCTTTATTTGGGTTGTTTCAAAGTACCCACATTATGCTGCCAATACTTCTTCCAACCTCCAGAAAGGAATCCTTAGCTCCTGTTGGCTACTGATGATGCACTGGCATAATAAAATTTCTTCAGGAACTTTCTCATTTTCAGAATAAAGTTCATATTTTGCAGTGTGTGTGGGTGATAGTTGAGTAGATGTTATATAAGATAGATTATATAACCTAAAAACACACTTGACCACATTCAAACAGTAAGGCTGGACTGCTGTTATTCGTTATTATCAGGATGTCTTTAAAACTCCCTGAAAAGCCTTCAGCTAATCCAAAATGCTGCAGCAAGAGTCCTGACAGGGACTAGAAAGAGAGAGCAGATTTCTCCTGTTTTGGCTTCCTGTTAAATCCAGAATTGAATTCAAAATCCTGCTCCTCACATACAAGGTCTTAAATAATCAGGCCCCATCTTATCTTAATGACCTTGTAGTACCATATCACCCTATTAGAGCACTTAGCTTACAGACTGCAGGCATATTTGTTGTTCCTAGAGTATTTAAAAGTAGAATGGGAGGCAGAGCCTTCAGTTTTCAGGCCCCTCTTCTGTGGAACCAGCTTCCAGTTTGGATTCAGGAGACAGACACTATCTCTACTTTCAAGATTAGGCTTCAAACTTTCCTTTTTGCTAAAGCATATAGTTAGGGCTGGACCAGGTGACCCTGAATCCTCCCTTAGTTATGCTGCAATAGGTGTAGGGTGATGGTGGATTCCCATGATGCACTGGGTGTTTCTTCTTCAGTGACCTTTCTCACTTACTATGTGTTAATAGACCTCTCTGCATTGAATCATACTTGTAATTCAAGTTTCAAGCTTCCACAGCATGGCTTTTGTCCTGTCATCCTCCCCTCACCCCAACAGGTCGCGGCTTATGGCCGCCCCTCCCAGAGCCTGGTTCTGCTGGAGGTTTCTTCCTGTTAAAAGGGAGTTTTTCCTTCCCACTGTCGCCAAAGTGCTTGCTCATATTGGCTCATATGATTGTTGGGTTTTTCTCTGTATGTATTATTGTAGGGTCTACCTTAGAGTATAAAACACCTTGAGGTGACTCTTGTTGTGATTTGGCGCTATATAAATAAGACTGAATTGAATTGAAGGTTTCCATCACTTTAGATGACTTAGAATAATTGGCTTAATAAGTTCTGTCTTGAGAACAGGGTGAGATCCCACAGTGAGTAAAACCTGTTCAAATACACAAGTGATTCTGAATATTTAAGTTTAATATAGACTCACAGTAGAATGCTGTTTTATTTCCTTTGTTTTTTTCCACTCATAATGGTTGTCTTGTATTCTACTTTATGGCTAGAACCACCCGAATGCCCCAGCCAACCACATTCCTTCGTGTGAAACAGGAAGAGGAGGAGCCTCATCTCAGAGTCCTCAGCCCAGGTACTAAGTTGAGAGAGAGGGGAGGGTGGTGGTGGGCTGTTTAAAGTGGAGAGTTGCTCCTTCACTGTTCACTGTTCTGCATTATACTGCAGAATTCACCAAACCGCTGACGTCAGGTTTCAGAGAGACAACAGCAGCTAAACTACTGAATACAAACACAGATATTCATGTTTGAACTGCTGTATGCAGAAACATACTACAGACATAAGCAGTTTAAAGTGTAGCAGTACTCTAACATGTTCTGCAGTGTAACCTATCAATTTCTCCCTACACCCACAGTTGGTCTACCCCTAAAATTAGCCTCATATTATTATTATTATTATTATTATTATTATTATTATTATTATTATTATTATTATTATTATTATTACTATTATTATTATTATTATTATTACTATTATTA